CAGATGGCTTTTGGCTTTTTAGTTCAGTTACGTCAGTTCCTGCTGAACTAGCTGGTCCAGATAGTCACGGAGCCTTTCTGTGAAAGCAGCAGCTCCAAATAAAATTGAAAGGAACGTAAACAGGGAGTTACAGTCCCTCTTCTCAGTAAGTCAGGAGCTGTGGAAGCTTGAGGAGTAGCCTTTGGGATGCTCCATGCAGGTGCACAGTATCAGATGTCTCTGGGAGTTATCCAGGCTGTGTTTGTATTACCACAAGGGCACTGTACAAGGTGCCTCAGGCTTCAAAATTCTGAAATCTAACATACACAATCTTGGTTTCCTTTGTCATTCTAGGTATCTGAATTTGCAGCTGCCACTAAAGGAGGAATTCTGGTTTAAGTCATTAAAAGAGTGACTTCATTTTGGCATGGGGTACAGCACGGCAGTATTAAATTGCTGGAGAGATTAGCAAACACAGCATGTGTTTTCCAGGCTCTCCTGACTTGAGCTCCTGTGGCTTTTCTAAACAGCTTGCTCAGAAACTCCTTTATTTTATAGATGAAGGAAAAGTATAATTGGCATCAGCACTGCATTGTCTCTCCTGCAGTGGTGTTAAGGTGACCCTTCACAGACACCTGCTGTACCAATCCTGCCTACCTCATGTGTTGCAGGAAAGGAGGAGCCTTTTGGGTTCAGTGAGTCAGGGCAACCGCTTGGAGACTGCACTGCAGGCAGTCCAGCCAGCCCTTCCAGCTTGTGCCTGGCTCTGGCATTTCAGAATGGGTCTGCACAGAGAGGTTTTCAAACACTGAGACTGTGCTGGCTTTCAGGGGTGCTGTAGGTACAGTAGTAGTGGTACAGTAGGTAGGATTCCTCACTGGAGTAGGGGGGATGCTGATGTGCTTGGAGTATAGTGCTTTAGCTGCCTTGATCCCAGGAGCCTGTACACAGCTCTTGTTTCAGAGCAGTATTTGGGCATCCAGGATTACCTCTCAAGGTGGCTTAAGTACTCCTGCACCTTGATGACTACATGGAAATTTTGCTCAGGTAACACCTAATTGTAAAGTCATGTCCTGCTTTGTCTTGGTGTTACATTGGGATCCTTCACAAAACTCTCACTTGGCAGAGGAGTCAGGAGGTCTTCAGTGCGTTCCAGGCAGCAATGCTCTGCTGAGGCTGAGTTTTGTGAGTTTTTGATCTGCCAGACCTAAGTGCAGCACTGGCTGCTGAAGTATTCTGCAGTTGTTTTGTTTTAAGGCAGAAGTGACTCCCATGGCCCAGCCTATGAAAAGATGCTCTGGTAGAGATGGCTCTGGACTGCGCTGGCTTCTCTAGGGGAGGTTCAGCATGAGAGATCTGGGTCTGGGTGCACACTCTTGGGCAGTTCATAAGTGTGTAGGAGGCATTACAGCAGTGCTTTCGCTTGTGTTGTGGTGTTCACTTGCCACTGTACCCTTTTAAGCTGATCTAATGGAAGGCCCTGGAGCACCCAGAGAATGGAGAGGAGAGGGGTTTGAAAGGCTGTCAGGTGAACCTTCCGTCTTCCTCTGAAAGAAAGCATGAAGCTTCACATCAGTAAAACTAGACGTGGAACACTTTCCCTACTTTTTAAGCCTTTTGGGTGCTTTGGCCCTGGTGGTGTTTCTCACTCAGTCACATGCTGTGCCATGGGTAGGGAAGTATTTGATTACAAAAATTCAAAGGCTCTGCAGTGCAAGAGTCTGAGAACAATGTCCAGCACCTTACAGATTGCACAGAAGTGTTTGGATTCTCTTTATAATGTTGTCTTTTATTTTTTTCCTTTCAGTCAAAATCCCTTTCTAGTGGCTGCATTTGGAGCTTGCTCTCTCACGAGGCAGTCTAACCACCAAGCCTTTCAGAAATTTGGACGTTCAATGACAGCCTCTGACATGGTTTCAGAAGTTGGAACAGCTTTTAACAAACTTTTTGAAACCTGAAGCCAAAGCAGCAAAGAAGAAAAGAATAATGACTGCAAGAGTAATTACATGTACCGTAGAATTTACATAATGCACCCTTTCAAGTGCTGTAGCAGCATTGGTATGTTAGGTAGATTTTTTTATTTTTAAGAATAGAAAAATATGATTAATGTAGATATTTTTTAAGAGTTTGGAATACAAAAATGTTTCGGCTGAAATAAGCTGTAGTTGCAGATCTGTTATAATATAATAAAACTAAACTGAAAGTATTCCTCTGTTCTTTTTGATAGTTATTGAGCAATAACTAAAGTGTGAACAGCAAAAAATGCACTTGATATTTAGATAAAATTCTTCCACCAGCTCAACTGAATTTCTTGGATTTCACCAAGGTTATCACTTGTCATTCTTAGACCCTCTGTCTAGAATTAGCTATTGCACTTAATTTTTTGCCATGCTATTAGAGTAAGAAGCAAAAAGTAAGCCTCTTTGGAAAGGGAATGCATGAGAGTTGCTGTAGATTTTGAATGTAATTAGTTGCCTTTTCTTATTCCCAGTCCTAGAGGCAGCATTCATTTAGACAAGGCGTCCCTTCCTGCAATGTCTTGTTATTTTTATTTAAAAGGTTCCCCCTTGGCAGAATAAAGATACACTATAGGTATCTTGGCAGTAAAATTCATTAAACAATAATTAGCATTACCTGCAAAAGAAACAAGTTTCTGATTCTTTTTCTAGTCTTGACTCAATACAATGAACTTGTGAAATTGTCATTTGGAGATGTACTAGGTAGGGCAAGAAACCCAGCAGAACTGGTTCAGCTCTCGGTAATCATGTTAGAGGGAAGTGCTTCTAAAACTCCAGGTGCCTGCTGGGCTAGAGCTCAGAGCAGCCCAGCACACAGGTCTGTAGGTGGACAGCGATGAGCCAGCAGGAATACAAGTTGAAGAAACAAAAGGCAGCCCACGGCTCGTACCTGTACCTCCACAGCAGAGTGCAGGCAGCATGCGCTGCAAGTGAAGGGAACAGAAACAGGGTGGTCAGTGTTCGAGCTTCAGGTGCAGTCCTTAGTACTGCAAAAAGCAGGAGTTTTTAGGGCAAAAAGCATAGAGGCTTTTACTTGATCTTTGCAGGAGAGACAGACACTGTCAGAGCCACACTGATCTGGCACTGGCAGAGCAGGCAAGCATTAGGTGTAAAGCAGAATTTCCACGGGATTTTGCACAGGACCATTCCTTAAATTTTAGGAGATTTAGTCAAAGCTTGTAGAGATTGAACCTGATTGGAGGGGGAGGCAAGTTCATGCAAAGTAAATTTAAATGGGTGCTGCCCTTGACCCTCCAATCCAGCTCCAGGTGTTGCTGCTCATTGAAGCACCAGAACAAACACGTAAGGCATCCAGTCACTACAGTAGGTGTCACCTGCTCAGCACAGCCACCCCTGTGGTGCTCTCAGCTGGAATGTGGTGTCTCACAGACCAGACTGCTCTCATTCCTTCCAATAGCTGCCTGCAGAAAGCACTGGAATCAGAAAGCCTACTCCAAGTATTTCCCTTCAGCCCTTAGAGTTGGTATTTATGGATGCACTGTGACTACTACCTCACCCTGATGCATTTTTCTTTTTAAACCAGTTACCTATTTTTAAAATAGGTTTTTAAGTGTTTGCTTGTGTTGCTCTATGAGGGTTCACAAACTACTCTTAAGAAATGAGGTTTTACTGTTTAATTTAAGCAGTTTTGTAAACTGTCTGCATCTTAGGGGAAATGTAAGCTATTATTTTCCCCCCTTAAATGCATTTGAGAAACCTAACTACTTTTAAATGAAATCAGAAAGTTTAAACTGATTTTAAAACAACTACTGCCTTTAAAATAAGTGATTTTTTTTTTCTTGTAATTAGAACATCAGTGGTATTATAATCTAAATGATGTGTAGGCGAAGTCAATCAATTAACAGAGCTCAGTACAGATTTCAACTTGCCCTGTTGGTTTTAAAACTACACAGAAGTTGTAACTGTTATTCACTAATGTATACAGATTGTTACAATTTTTAAACATTCTGGAAATGTAGCAGTTTCTTTTGGTAGGAAATAAAAGTACTAGCAAAATAACTGGACTTTGTTTGGTGTGTGCTGATCCCATTTCACACAGCAGCTGAGCTGCTGCTCATCATTCACTCTGTTTTGCTAGAACAACACTGCCACGAGTAAATGTACAATACCAACTGTGTCAAATGAGCATCCGTGCCCCAGTGCTGAATGAAGAGACCCTGCTCTTCTCTGGAAGTATAGATAATGGAGAAAGGAAGCAGAATAAGAGCTATACATTTTGTTCTCAACAGTATAAAAGAAAACACAAGTGCCTTGTAGATGAACCCTTGCTTGGTTCTTAAGTTATTTGTAAATTGATTTAAAGAAAGTGCAGGTACCAGGTAAGTACCTGTATCAACACAGGTGCTAGAACACAGGTCACCTCAGGTGTAAAAGAGGCTCTGCCCACAGCCATGGCCAGCAAAAAAACTGAACAGGTTAAAGCTAAACATATATATATACCTCCTAATTTTATCTTCCCAATTCTGGAGAGATCCTGAGCATGCTACACTCCCAGTGCTAGAGAAATCTCCTTGTATTCTGTGCAAAAGCAAACAAAAGAAAACAAGCCTTAAGGTAACTGGAAACCATCATATTACATTAAAGTTTTCACAGGATCAAAGCAGCAGCACTGCAATAAGGAAATACTTCAAGGTTAAAAGTATCCCCCATTCCTATGTCTGAGAGGAACAGAATTGTCAGCCCAACAGACATAAAACTGTTTTCACCTTAAACAGAGGCCGACGTTCTTGCCTCTGCCTTCACTATGTTTAAACTCTGTGTCAGGTCAGCAACACAGGGTGAGGCAGATGACAGAGCTTTTGGGGCTGGGGCAGTCCCTGCAGCAGAACAGACCTATGCCTCATGGTGTTAAACCAGTGCAGCTGCTCCTCTGCTGCCTTGCATTCTGGATGCTTCCACCACCTGTGCTGCAAGGCCTGTATTTATTTACCAAGTACTAGTGCCAACAGTTTTGCTCAAATTACATACTATCATTTTTAGCCATTCTGTTCAACAGATTTTATTTTGAAAGAATTAGTATTTACAACAGTTGCTGAAGTAGCTGAAATAAAAAACAAGTCCAAGGATGAAGGATCAGCTTTTTTTCTCAGTCTGCTTCTCTGTCTGCCCTCCTTCCACAATTTCCCAGGTTGAAACAGCAGCTCTGTCCTGTAAGAGAAAGTAAGCAGGTCAGTCCTGCCCAATTGGATTTTTAACCGGGATTCACTCAGCAAAGCTATTCATCCAATTGAGCAAAAGAAGTAGCAATAAAATCTCACAGGAATGCCACTGCTAGTAATAATGCTTAGAGTTGTAAAACAAAACTAGACATTTTTTCCTAGCTCAGAGGGAAGAAATAGTAGAAATGTCACCTCTTCAGTATGGAATGCTGCAGGGGGGTGCAGCCTCTCATATGAGTAGCTTCACTCAACTCATGCAATTGTATTTTCAAGTCTCAATGGCTCATGTTCCTGAAAAAAATCTCAATACATACAAATATATTGCTGAACATGTTTGATCTGAACTCAGGACAGAAGCCTGTTGATTTTAGTGTCTGTAATGTGATACTGTCATATTTTTGAAAGGCATTATTACAGCTAAACTGAACATTCTATTTAGAACCAGCTGTTTGATTGCAATGGTTGAAAATAAAAGTAAATCTGAACACTGACACACGACTAAGTTCCATCAGCACTGACTCATAAGAGCAGCTGGAATTGTTGAATCTTTTTTACATGAAAACTCTTTGATGCCTAAATACCCAATTACTACATTTCACTTGGAAGCATAGCTTCCAAGTAGGCCACAATGACAAGAAAATACACATGGATTTTTTTTCATCAGTCTGTTGCAATATACGTAAACTTCAGCCAACATCCTTTGCAATGAGCAACCTGACAGAAGAAACCAGAGTAGGGAACTCACAAGCTAGAACCCGAAGGAGAAACTACCCTTCCTACAAAGCTGATTTTTAAGAAAGTTAAAACTTCTGTTCAAGCCACCCCCTTCCTGCCCTGCCTCAAACCAGGGGGTTCCCAGTCCACACTGGATGGAGCTGAGGCTTGTCTGCTTCATCTGTTCCGCTTCTTTTTCACCTGCACGTGGACTTCAGAAGTTGCTGGCTTGCTTGAGCCTCACATGACAGAGGGCAGCACTTTGGCATTAATGCATGCACAGTGTGAGGCTCAAATGTTTTGTGGAAATGAGGGGCTGGGCAGAAACGAGAAATTCATGTAACTTCCTCAAGCACTTATTAGGCAAGCAGGACCCCTGCTAGGTGCTGTTTTACCAAGGCATTTCTGGCATCAGCTGACCCAGCCAGGCAGACTCATGATGAGCAAGAGGGTGGGGAGAGCCCTGCTTTGTGTAGGTTGTGTCTTGTTGCACGTGTGTGAGGAATTGCAGAGCTGCATCACTCAGCTCGCAGTTCTCTGGGATCTGCAAAAGCAAGGTGTAAGCTAACTTCACACCTTCGGATACTTCCACAGTATCAGCAAAAAAAGCAGGAGTTCAGCTTCGGATGCTTGCTCTGTGTGCTCTAAGCCCATTTGTGCTTTGTCTTCTGGAGCAATCCAGTCTGGGGCAGATTATGCTGAGCTTTGGGTTATTAAATTTTTTTTTAAATAAATGGAATGGTTTGAATCCTGGCTCAGACTAATTTGTGGGGTTTTCAAATGTAAATCTCCTTAAAAAACAAACCAAAACAGATCTGCAAAAGGATGGAGGTGGAGCTGCAGCATTTTTCCAGTAGATGAAAAGGCAGGCTGCTTCTCCAAGACTTTGTCTCAGCACACAGTTTGGATTTGCAAACTTGCTTGACAGGTGAGTGTAGTGGAGATTTACAAACAAGTTAAAGGAAGCAGATGTTCCAGCTTCCTTCCCCTTCCTTTCACAGCTGCAGCTCACCACCACCAGGCTCTGGCGCTCACCCCGGTTTTGGCCAGCACACTCACTCTCATCCAAGAGAGGGGAGAGCCGCCCACGCTCCGCTCTAACAGCGCACTGACAAGTGACAGCCCTCACGCTCGGCAGCTGGAGCGGATGTGTGCCCTCACTCCCTGATGTCATTGTGCTTTCCATCCTCCCATCGGTAAAACTATGGAACCAGACTTCCCAGGATCAGTTCCCAAGGAAAGGAAAAATGAACAGTATAAACTGGATGGAGGGAGAGAATGTGGAGGATTATTCTGCGGTCAAGGAGCAACACTGGCTCTCGCCTAACAGAGGCAAGAAGGGCAATGACCAAGAGGAACTGGAAGAAGCAGCACTTTAAAGAAGTACTGCAGGTCCTTGGAACCAGGAGAAGGCAGTAATGCCATAGAGGGTCTTCTCTCAAGCCAGAGATGCCACTGAGATAATGGAAAAGAATACTGGCATTCAGTGTAGGCTAAAAGTAGAAAGCAGGATAGAGAGGGGAGTGGTACAGGAATTGGGCAAAGTCCCTGTGGCTCAGGAACAATTGGGAATGAAGCTGCTGAAGATGAAAGCGGCTTTCTCATAAAGACTTATTTTTGGTGGGGAGTGTGGGGTAGGTAGAAGGAAGGCACTATTTTCACACGTCATCTTGGTTTACTTTCCAGTTCCTTTGCAATCTCTTTTAAAGCTGCACGCATTACTCACACCATTCCTTCTGGATTGAACTTGGGCAATTTAGGGATTTCTGACTATTATGAGATTTTCAGTGGCTTGCATGGAAGCACAAGGCTGAGGGGGAGCAGAAGAGAAGGCAGCATTATAGACAGACAAGGGCTTGACTTCCACCTCCTGCTACTGCAGTCACACAGGGTGCAGGGCACCACGCCACAAGCTGCTGAAAGGGAATGAAGGACAAAAATATGTGTTGTCTTAAAAAGTGACTGAGTCTCACAAAGAGGGTCACTGTCTTCTACCTGTATGTGGATTCCAAAGGCAGCAAGGTCTCCACGCAGACTGTCACAAGCCTCCAAGAGGGGCTTTCTCTCCTGCATTAACTGCTTCCTCTTTTCCTTCTGCTCCTGTTTGGGTTCCTCGGCTCCCGCCGCACCCTCCAGTGGTGCAGCGCCTGCTGCTCGCGGCAGAGCCAGCGCGTAATGCCGCACCTTCGAGCGGAACCTCACCAGCTCTTCAATGACACTGGAGAGCACTGCAGACTTGTCTCCTCCCAAAGCCACCTAGAAATCAAACAGAGTGCTTTACAAACATCTGATATTGAAAAAATCAACCCCATCTCCATAGCAATGTGAGGCTTTATCACCTCTCTTGCTCGTGCATCTTCCATATATTGGTAGGATTAAAATGTTACCATCTCACTAATGCTGGACAAAAAGTTACAGTGAAGTCACACTTGGAAGAAATTCAGCATATTCCTGCACAAGAAAGCATTTACCTTGGAGCAGAGTGCTCTCACATGAACACAACACACTGCATAACCCAAGTGGGGAACTCATCACCACAGGTAACCTCGGAGATGCCAGAAGCATGCATAGCTAAAGAAGGGATCTGACAAGTTAATGTCAGAAAGGCTTGGTAACAGGAATCCAACACGGCAAGGGAAGCCTAGCCACCAGCTCAGACATCTCCTTGGCTGTAAAAGTCCAAAGACAGTGAATACATCAGCCCCTTATTCTGTCTTTGAGCTCCAGACCTCCTTCAGGAAACACAAACTAGGAGAAGTAAGTATTTTGGCTTTAAGTCTCCAGTCCATCCTAACCTTTCTCCTTTCATCTACAGAAACCCTTCCCAAATCCACAAAACTTTCATTTGATCCACCTTACCCAAAGTTTCAGCCACTCAAAAAAACCTGACAGAAGCAGCAGCTACTGCACACAAGGTGTGGATATTTCCTGTCTGCAGTCGAGCCCCTTCCTCCCTTCAGCCACTTCCAAGCTGCCTTGGCCTCCTCTGGCTTGGCAGGAGTCTTGCTGGTCAGTGCCTCAGGAAAGGAACAGACTCACTCCTCCTACAGAGTCCTGCTCCAACAGCTGCCAGGACGGGAGCCTGGGAGTCAGCTGAAGAGGAAGGCCACTCCTCAGCACTAGCACAGCCAGGCTCTTGGTCTCACTCTTGGCAGAGACACCATCCCTGTTTCTCATTATAGGCAAACTCCCGAGGGGGAGGAAAAGGAAAAACCTCCAATGAACAAGAGAACCCCACGGCGGTGTTTTATCACTAGGACACGAGAGTGGGAACACAAAACACACCAAGGCCACAGGCAAAGCTCCTGGCAGCAACATCATCTGGGAGCAGAAGAGCAGCTGAGTAATTAAAGCCAGAAGGGACTGGGCTTAGTCACCAAACAGCAGGATGGAAACCAAAGGGAGCAGAGTTTCAGCGGTCACAGACAAAAAAGAAGAGCAGGAGGAGGAGGTGAGGGGGAAGCTATCGAAGATAAAGAGTGTGAAATACAGTGAATTCCCCAAGCTTTCAAAACATGTAACCATACTAAAGAAAAAGTTTATGAGATTGAAAAAGGTAATAAATCTAAGTGCCAGAAATGCTCCATAGCAACCTCTGGCAGGATAAATACTGAAATACAGAAGGGAAAGCCATGATGATGGGAACAAGAAACATGCCTCTAACAAACATCACTGAAAGAGTTCAAACCAGGCACCTACTGGAGTGAAAGCCTTCAAAAGGAGGAGCAGCTTTAGGAGATGAACCAGTCTGCCACATAAAACAGCCTCTCGGGACTGATCTCAAATTTCTGGCCCTTGCTTACTCCACAGATGCACCTGCAGTACAATCAACACTCTGCACTCTTTGGGAGAGCAAAAGCTTCCCAGCTCTAAAACAGGCACAATGGTTTTCACTCACCACCTTTCCAGATGGATTCATCTTATCTCCCCTGTGGATAAGATCTCTTGCCAATGCAGAGAGAGACAGGCTCTCTTATTGCAATACACCCACTAGACTGAGATGAGACATTCTTTAGCATCCCCCGTGACTTCAGAAGCACAGGCAGCTACATTAGGCTGATTAGCTGAGATGAATCCCAGCCCAGGAGCAAGACAGAGCCACAGGCTACTTGCAAATATCTAATTGAGGTGGCCCAAACACCGCTGCCTGTATCCTCTGCACTGTCAGCACAGCAGTGTCCAGGCTGTTCTGGCTGGTCTCAAGAGTGAGGGAACAATCCCTACACTATTTTATTTACTAAATTGTGGTAGCCCATGGACCTTTCTGATGAAGATTTTGACAGATTTTTTTACTGAAAGCTGAAAGAGCAGAGGAACAGAGAGGAGTCTGATGAGCTGCTCCTTTCTTCCTGCTTATCTCAGACCAGCATCTTCTGCTGATCCTCCTGCCACACAGAGAAAGGGACTAGCACAGCCTAAAACAAAGAAAAGCATTCAGATACTTGTTTCAGCAAAAATATAGGCACAGCAGACACCTGCATACAGACAGCCCAGAATCTACAGGAGTGACTTTGCCATCCAGCTAACAGAAAAATATAAGTGTTTCGTATGCCACTAAAATTTAATGCAAACTACAGGCTGTGAGGAGTAACACACAGCCAAATTACATCCAGACACTGTTTTGAAAGAAATTTTGTGAGAAAATCTATAGAGGCAAACTAAATAAATGCATTTACCACTATACTGTCTGATTTTCAAAGGATGAATAATTTTACATTTTCTCACTCTCTTCTCCCCCTCCCCAGAATAACTGTTCTGTTTTGCAGAAGTTTCTCTACAGTTTCTCTGAGTTTCTCTACAGAAAGTTTCCACTACTTTGCATTCAGCTCCGTATTTGAGCAGGAAAGGAGCAATGAACAGCCTGCTATTCTCAAACACCATGTGTGATTTTAAATGCTTCCATACATTGGGATATCACCTTCATATTGATGACTCTCTTTCCCATTCAGTACTTTGCTTTGAGCTTTTCTCTCCTTTTTTTTCTCTCCCCATTCCTATCTTTCCAAGAACTAGTTATGTAAGCTCACTGTTCCCCCCTCCCCAATACCCCCTATGGCTCAAGGCAGAGCAGCCCCTTCCCCTGGCTTTCTGCAGAGGAGTGGGACCCCTCACAACTGCAAATGTTCACACAGCTATCAAAGCCAGCCTGGATGCAACCATCAGGAAGAAGAGGAAAAGCTGGGGAAAGCCAGACATATAACAGGACAATTTAAAGGCCTCCAATGCTAACTGTTTCTTGTTTCATTCCCAAGTCTTTCATTTCCACAGCAAAATTGGCGCAGAAGTCACATGGGAGTACCTCCAAGAACTAAAAAGCCCACACTTTGTTCCACTGTTCATACACTCTCCTAAAACACCACAGGAGAAACTGCAAACGGTGCAGAAAGGTTTACTAAAACCATCAATAACTTTGTTGCATCTGATGCTTTCAGAAAGCACTCTATGAAACATAACACTGGGGCTGCTACCATGTCCTCAAACACAGAGAAGAAATATTTCATTACCTGTCTTTCTCCAAAGGACATCCCAAGGGCATTGAAAAAGCCTTCAATATAGGAAATAATGCTTCCATACACAACAGAGCTTCTAGGAGATCCAGCATCCTGTTCAGAAAACACTCAAAAGAGATTGTCCAGTCAATACATATTACAGAACCCTGCATCTCTTTGCAGCCTAGTCCACAAGGGAAAACTACTAATTATAAAGACCTACCTCCATCAGGAACACCTGCCCAGACAAACAATCTTCCAGAGATACAAAAGCACCTCACAGCACAAAGGGAAGAGATTTAAGTAAACAAGGGAAGGAAAGAGCTTATCACCAGCCTGTGCAGCAAGAAGAGATACGAGAAGCTGCCATACATTGCATGTGTGCAGCAAATTAGAACTAAAAATAGCACTTCTGGGCATGAAAGGGCTGTGTGTATGGAAACAAAATAAAAATAACAAAATCCCACGTTCATGGGCACCTATAATATAAAAGATTAAAAACAAATTCTTTTGAGTATCTTATTGATTTGATCCATGTGGAGATCGCTTTGAGATAGTGTATGGCATTTTGTCATGCCCTGGTAGCACCAGCAATCAGCAGCAGCAATAAAATAAGGATTAAATGACAGACTGAGGAGCAATTTAAGGGACTGATCCTTGCCTAAAAAATGAGTGATGACATGCACAAGCAAATCAGCAGCTGATACTGGATTTTAGCTGACATCTTCACTAGGGCCTGAGATAAGCTATAGTCTAAAATGTATAGGAAGATCTGAACTGGGAGGAGCTGGAGCAAGCCACTGGGAGAAAGGAATAGGAATGTGCCATCTAAGGTGAGAAATGCTTAGCAGGAAGGCTAAAGAGAGGAGTAAGTAGTTATGTGGATTTACTCACAGTTCTTAAAGAGAAAAACTACACTCATAATAAAGAGAGAAAACTCCAGACAGCTGGGCTGTACCCAGAAAAGCTCCATCTCAACCAGAAATCTGAGTCAGCTGCCCCACAAATATCCCATCCCATTCTCAACAAAATGACTGACAGGAGGAATTCAGAGGGAACAAGCAGTGACTGACAAAACTTGTAGTTGTATCTAGGAGTGGCAATGCCATTACAGATCCCTGCTGCAAAGTGTTTCAGGTCAGGGATTCACTCAGATTGTAAAGATAATTTGTAAAGATAAGGCTAAGGCTAATCTGTAAAGATTTGCTCATTCACCTCATAAAGGTAACGGTAAGGGCAAAATTGAAAGCCAATGCCAAAACAGGACCAGAGTGAGGCAGGATTTCTAAACCAACAGGCTAATTCTCTCTTAAAACCAGTTATTACCATGTACACAACATTTCTTTTACTACACATAGTAAACATGAGGACACCAGTACTCAAGGAGCACAGCAAAAAGGGTGAGGTGCTCACCTTGAGTGACAAAGGGAGCTGTTGCTAAATGGAAAACCCAGAAGTGCTTCAGACAGTGTTTATTGCTCAAGTCTTGTCCTTAACCAGGTTCTTTGTGTCAGCATAAGAGATCTTAACAGGGTCTTAATTTGCCAAAAGCCATCTGAAGACAGACTCATGTTGATGCCAGTTACAGTCTGTGCCACTCAGTCCCAACGCTGAACTCGCCACCAAGACTGTCCAGTGCACCTGGGGCTGCTGGCCAAAGCCCCTGCAACAACCACCCCCCAGCACTTCACAGTTTAGCCTAATTTCTGTGCATGGATATTAAGCAAAGAAGCAGGGTAAGAACACAGAACCAGCACTAAAATTAGCAGCATGTCACAACAGCTTCAGGCCTTTCAGAAGCCCTAGGTATAAATAACATAGGGCAACAGGAAAGAAACATCCTCTAGACACAACAGAGAACAAAACAATAGCCATGCACAATTCCTGTGATAGGGTCAGGACAAATGGGCTCCATTAAGGTCAAAAATTTATGGAGCTTTGTTTCTGCTGGTTTCTTATGTGAACAATAAACTAATCTGTCTGCATTAAGCAGTAGGACAGTGGACAGCTGTCATTTTCTGATCTCTGTATCCTAATGGGTTACCTTAGTAACAGCCTTAAGCTGTCTGTTGCCATGGTGAATGAGGTCCATAATTGCTGCAACAGCCCTGGAGGTGTCAAAGTCATCTGCAAACGCAGCCTTCACGGTTGCTTTTGTGTTGGCTAGCCTTCAAAAAGAAAAGGTAACATTTAAGATAAGACAAACAAGATGCCAGCAGTATGCTGAATTCATCCATTCAGCCAGAGGGAGTCATTGAAAGGACACTGCCATCTCCTTCTCAGCTGTCCTGTGATGGGCAGTGCTGCACTCATCAGGGAGAATACATCTTTCTGCTGTGAAGGGAAAAATTTCATGCATGTCAAAATCCTAAGTGTTACATCCATTCAATAAATATACATGGCTAATCAGAGGAGCCAACAACAACAGAGCAAAGTTTGCCTTAAATCATTCAAAAACAGATGGAAAATGAGACTGATATTAAGCATATCAAAGATCTTACTGAGTTCTGTTTTTTTTTCCAGCAGTCCATTAATCATGCTAACAGCATGTTTCTCTTCCAAACACACATCACAGGCAGCTCTCCAGTGCCTGGCAAGAAAGCTGTCCTGGGGCTGGCCAAGAATCCTGTTGTCAGGATCCGACTCAGAACAAAGCACTGCCTCCTCATTTCCCAGGAGAGCCCAATCCCAAGGGATTCCACTCACCATGGCCCAGATGGAAAGGTCCAGTGGGACCATTTGTGTAACAGTGCCAAAAGCCAGCGGGCAACCAGCACTGATCACCACAGAACCAGCACCACCAGCTGCAGCCACTTGGAGAGGCAGATGAGGAGAGCAGCAGGGATAAATGAGGAGCTACAAACAGCTGCTGGCAGCACACTCCCATACACAGCCAGGCCAACCACAGCTTGACAGTGCTGGGCCAAGGATGCCATTTCCCAAAAAAGTCCAAGGAGCAGGGGAACCTCAAGCTGTCCTAGCATCTCTCGGGCTCTCCTGAGCTTTATTTTACCCGTTTCTGTATATTTTTGCCTGGAATGCCTACTTCCCTTCAGATACTGGATGGCTGCTGTTCTAATTTTTTCCTTCCAACACTTTTCCCTGCAAGCTTACCCCTCTCCACTGAGTATCTAACACTTCACTAATTAAGAGCTTTGCCTCATTTTGGTTGTTTTTACACCAAAGAATACACAAGTTGTGCCCTCCCATAGATCCCCTACTGATTATCCATTTCAACTTCCTCACACCTCTCAGCTTTATCTTGCACCAACAGATCTCCTGCAGCCTCCTGCTGAAGGATTTGCTTATGCCATATACCACAGCTAGTTAATGCAACTCACTTTCCTGTAACATACTCCAGTGCCCCTTGCAACCCTCAGTCACTGCAGACACAAGCACACAAGCATCCCAAACAGTGAGGTACCTGAGCCACAAGGAAACTGCCTCTCACCTCTACAGCACAGACTGTCTCCCCTCTGATTCCACAGCCCAGAGCTGTCTGCACTAACCTTGCTTCAGGGCACTCAATGCCCCTGACTCTGTGCTCCTGCTCCCAGCTTTGCACCCAACACACAGCGTACCTCAGTCCTGAGGATAATCTTGTTTTCATAATGGACTACAAAGAATTCTCACCACTGTCAGGGTCACAACAATTTTAATTGCTTCCTTCCCTGTGACATGCCTGCCCATGGCCAATCTCTCAGTAGCCCCTTCTCTCCTCTGCTGCACACCACAGTGCCAGCCAGCTTGATTACAAATTCACACCCCCAAGGTGTGTCACTCTGCAGTCATCCTCTTTCTTCTCCAGTCACTACTGCCCAGCTCTGCTTACGAGCTGGGGAGCCTCACAGCTGCCACAGCTTTGCCTCCTGCACTGCTCATGAGAGGCAAAGACACCTGTGTAAGGACAGGCACACCAGATAAGTAACTCAGATCTTAAAAACACAATGAACTGAGTATAGCAGACTAAGAGCAAAAACAGCTGGCTAGAAAGAGATTTTTTTTTAAAAAAAGCTGCCCTTGGTTTCTGGGCTTGGATGGAGGACTGCTGCTTAGTCCTTCTTGTCCTGTTTCTTAAAGAGAACCTCTGAGTCTGCCAGCGAACTACTGCTCACATAATCACAATCTTTTAAGATACAGGAAGTGCACTTACCTTTCCCACAATATGTCTTCTCTAACAGGGTCACACACCAGCTGTCCTTTTATATAAGCATTTGCATCTCTAATAAATGAGGAAATTGCCTGAAGACGGTTCTTTGCATCTTCCATGCTCTCCTCACTATATTCTATTGCTAAGAAAAAAGAAATCAAGGCATTAGGATGGAAAGAATGTTGTCTGTCATGCATAGGAACAGTATTTGGAGGCAAAGGAGAAGTTTTCATTATTTGCAGCAAACTTCTTACAGTTAATTGCACATTTAATTAAAAGCTCCATTCTTCATGAACACCAAGTGGATTAAATCAATATAAAAGACAATCACTATATAGGATGAAGTATAACCTAATGGAGCACTTATCAAACTGATTCAAAAAGTTGAATCCAGAAGTTTACTGAAGCAATCACTATTTAACTTTAATTTTTTTCCATTACTGAATCTCTCTGCAAAGTTATCAATCCAAAGCATTAGGATTTAATATACTTCTAAGTGTTCTAGTGATGGCAACATGTACCTCTACTTGTGTGCCTATTCTAATTTAGGTAGACACAATCTGTATTTGGAGACATCCAAAGAAGTCTAACCCTCACCATTGACTCTGTTTAAAAGGCTGCTTCACCAACATCTAAAATCTTAATGAATCTAAAATTTGTGGTCTAGCTTCTGAACAATTCCCTCACAACATCAAAGCTAAACTGACCATACCACTTTGAGAAAGCTATTTTTAGAGAAAATACTAATTGCTTAAACTCATAAGGGCATGTCTAGGGTAGGATTCATCACACTCACACATATCAAAGCCTCTTATGGCCACTGGAAAGATAAAACCTCAAGGTAAATGATTCCTTGCATCCACAGCTGAGCTCCACTTTATGATGAGATGCGCTGTACAGGAACTCTACAGAGTTCCTCTTCCAACACCCACAGTAACATTAACCCTACCACTAATAAGGCATCCATGCACACAGACATCTCCATGCATTCAGGGAAACCCTACCTTTGGAAGGCAATTCCACTTTGGAAGCTTCCAGAGTCCACTCCTGCTGGCAAGAGTTCAGCAGGCTCCTCTCGCTTTGCCTGCACCCTGCAAAGTGCAGGTGCCAGACTAACTCACTGTCACTTTTACTGGGAATTGCTATCAGTGAGAGGCTTTTTTTTTTTATTTGTACAGGAATGTGCAATTTTCCGCAGAAAAGCTTTTGGACCCAACATAAGAGAGCTCACCTGACCTCAGTGGAAGTTGTGTCTACCTAGGACAGGCCTAAGTTTGAATGCATTCCTTCCTCCAGTATCACACCAGAGCCATCCACAGCCAGTGCAGTATTGCTTCACTGTTGTATACCTGACCTCAGCAATAAGGTACATCCAAACTACAGCTGCCAGCATATTCCTAATATCATCAGCACTGAGCATCACCCATAGCTTCCACAGAAATCTCACCCCTGATCCTGCCTGTGGTGCATCCAACTGCTTTTCGAATTACCCAATGCTGCCCAGACAGACTCTTTAGAGCAGACAGTTTTACCAAGAGGACAGACGTAAGAGGGAAAAAGCAGCCAGAAGTGAGACCCAATCTCATTTCCATTAGCCTAAATCCCAAGGAAACGTAACGGTTTGAACAGACTTTACACAGGATTTACCCCAGCGCAACAAAGGTGTAAGTCTGGACCTGTATTTGTCAGATTTTGTTTCACTTGTGTATAATTAAAAATCTGCATTACTGCCTCATTAAATCAAGCTTTACACAGTTTTCAAAAAGACCAATGTACAGACCTCTATAACATAGTGAGACACTGAGAGTGATCATTTATATACACTAGGATTACTCAATTAATTAACCTGGTTACAAGAATTCTGAAAGGAATACTTGATAAAAGTTTATATTGATGAAACCTACTTTGGTTCAAGCCATTCGTCATCCCCAGTTCAGGGCATACTCCTAAACCACTGCCTGCAGACACTGCAAACCCACAACACAGCACAGGCAAGCCTGGCCCCTATAAACCTTCACTGTGTTCCTCAGTCCTTCCCTCCTTTGCCACCAACAGCCCAGACAATCACCACTGCTCCCAGAGCTCAGCTGCACCCCGAGCAGCTCTGCTCCACCACCCCAAGCAGGCAGAAAGGGTGATGAACTAGAGGAACCACATGCAGAAACACATTGTGGAAGGATGATCAAAGTCTCTTCTCTCTGCCTTTTCTTCTCTTCCCCACAAGCAAGGCATGCAGCTTTATCCTCCCTCTGACAATGGTCATCACAGGAAGGGACTCCACTCCCATGAAACACATGTACCTCCCTGCACATGTCCCTTTCAACCCTTGCCCCTCCAAGGCTGGGCCAGTCTGGAGTCACATTTGTCTCTATTGTGCCTGCTAGCACACACAAAGACAGGGGGGTAGCCCAGACAACAAAAAAGGCCCATTCCAAGCCAAAGAAACCACAGCATCAAGCATGAGCCATTCCCAACTGTCAGAAGCTGCCCCATCCACATGCCTACAAAGATCTTTTTTACAGATTCAATCCAACGTTTGTGGTACTAGCTGACCCCCAAACCTGGATTTTACAAAAGGCTTTCTTTGGCAGGTAGGAATGGCAGGAATCACCACCAGTGGGTCTAGGCTATACCTTTTAAGAAACAAGAAGGTACTTGGGATCTCACTTCTAATAAAAATATGAGCAGACAGCAAGATGAGAAAGAAGTGCAGTAAACTTATGTTTAGGCCAAAGTGAATACTGGTAGCAGGGACACAAGCTGACAGGCAGCACAGTAAATACTTGGCTCAGCAGAGACCAACTCTGGCTCTTTATTGGGAAGCTAATCATGCACAGGGCCTTGTAAGGTGGAGGTGGGAAGTGCAGACTTCTGAGCAACCCTTACCTGCCAACTGGCTTATACTCTGATATGACACCAGCATATCCTTTCATCAAAGCCACCCACATTCACACAGGTAGCACTCTTTTTTTACCTCAGGGGGGTGTTTATCCTAGAAGTAATGCAAAAAACACAGGTTCAAATGCAGCCAGCTGACGGGGAGTGAAGAAAGCCTGCAGGCAGATCTCCACTGCAGGGCTCCAGCGCCATTCCCTGTCCTGAGGCAAGGTTAGAAGCTACCAGACATTTAGCTCTTGCTTACATGACAAACATATATATATGATAGTGGTGGCAGGTGTTAGTATTTCCTTATGTTTTAAACACACATTTGTTCACAACTCCCAGGTGCCCCCAGCCAGGGAGCCACCTAAGTGTACACAAGGTATTTCATCTCCTAAAAGAAGCCATCAGCCAAATGTGCCACTACCCTGCAGCATCACCCCAAAACAGTCAATCATGCCACCAATCCACTGCCTGCCCCAAACAGGATGCTGTTCTGCAGCAGACCTTCCAACTGGATGCACCCCTCTCTTTCTATGACAGTGGCAGGGAAGTTAATAGCCACCTCTCTCTTTACTATCCCCTGCTTTGAAATATTGCAAGGATCTACTCAATTCCTGATACCTTCAACTGTCCTAGGAAAGGGAGGATCCACCAGGAAGATCACGTGGGTGGTTCCTGCAAGGCAGTTAGCAGTATGAACAAGCAGAAAGACGTCAGTGCAATGACTGCACGACTATAGAGACCAGCAGCACACTGCACACTGACAGGCATGAGCAGTGCCCCAGAGCCCTGGCCACGCCAGCTCTCGCAGTCACACTGCTACAGGTGCTCTAACCAAGGCAGACAGAGGGCCCCTGGAACACAGTAGCTGCTGCCCCATGCTCCACCATTCATTCCCTTGCCATGCCAGGACAGCCAACAAGCCAGCAGTGCAAAGGAACTACCATCTGCTTTTGGCAGGTCCCAATAAACTGGTAGAAACACAGACACATGAAAATCTCTTCCAGCTCAAAGTAGCATCTACCTGCTGGAAACACTACAGGGTTCACAGGGAAGCTAACAAAATCTCCCCATCAGCAGAGAGATGATCTGCCAGGCTAAGGTGTTCATTCATGTGTTGGTCTAAGTGAGCTGCACTGCACCACAGAACCGCCTGAACACTCAGGAACTCCACAGGACAAAAATGGTAACACAGCAGGGAGATAAAAAATTATTAGCCAGCCCTCATCATATAGGATGAGGAATATAAGACACAACTTCATCTAGATACATCTCCAAAAACAGCTGATCATGATTGATCGTAACTATGACAGATGCAAATCAGAGACAGAGGTAATTCATTAATTAAAAGTGTAATTAACTAAGAGTCACAACTAACCGCAGCTCAAGAAGGTATTTAAATGAATGGTTAAGTACTGTGCTCAGTAAAGACACTTTTCTAAACGCTAGCCAAAGAGCAGCCCCACAGAGCAGCACCAAAACCTTCCCACCCACTGCATTCCAGGGGAGCTCGCTGCACCTCTGCACGGCTGGGAAAGGTGTGGGAAAGCCACGCAGGGAAGGGGCTGATCCTTACCTGAGCTGTATCTGCCACGCAAACAAAACATTCTGAATTGATCTGATGAACATTTCTTCAGGAAATCCTAAACTCCATGCACAAAAAGACAGCTTTAGCACGATAACAATTTCTTCAGGAGCTCTTCCACCCCCTTGCTTTTCAAACCAACATGACAAATAACACATCTTTGCAATCTAAGACAGACAAAATCTTTAAACTCTAACACTGCTTTAAAACCTAAACTAAATAAAATTCAATTCCATATAAGATAGACGTGTGTACATATATATAAAATATAAATACACACACAATGTCCAATTTAAGACAGTGAAAATTACTTTGCAAGTACAATCAAACATACACTGTATAAAGACCATTGCAAAAAAAAAAAAAAAAGGAAAACCAAAGTGAAATTATCAGACTACGATTGGGATACAATCTTGAAGACAGGAAAGCTCCTGAGTTTTGCAAACTTTACAAACAAAGATTTCCTGAAAAAGAAAGTAAGTGTACTTTTTCTGCAGGACTAGAATATGAAGAAATACAGGGAGAGGACAAAGATATATCCTAGCAATAAAAAAAGAGTTATTTGTGTTAATTATGAAGCTTAATAAACTCCACTCTAATATTTACCTAGCTTTACAAATAATTCAGTCCAGTAAACAGTAAACTATTAGTATTACTAGTAGTACAATTAATTTTTATTAATAGTATAATAAACTATTTAAATGTTTGGAAAGTACACTAATAAAACATTCAATCACTTCCAACCCTGCTCTCAGCAAGGCTGAACACTGTGGTAGATTGACTGTGACTATTGTACTTCTGGTTTTGTTTGTTTTTTTTTTAATTTGCAAACTGGTAAGGATCACTGAAGTGCCACAAAAATCAAAAATCATAAGAAGCCAGTACAAGTGAGAAAATATGGAAAGTGTCATTTGTTTAAATTTCACATTTTAAAATAAGGCTTCTGCTACAAGATTAAACCAGCCTGAACAGTGGAAAAGCATGAGCAATGTGCTGTCTCTCAAGTGAAAATAGAAATAATTGAGGCAATCACAATCAAGAAACAGTGATACTGATTGTTTTGGTGGGTGTTGGTTTGTTGTGGGTTTTTAAAATAAACTGGATACAAATTAGTATACCCAATATGCCCACACTAATATACAGAGGTAGAATAATATGAGTACAGTATGGAAATACATTCAAATTTGGGAAAGGAGCGTCCAAACTAGAAAAAACAACTCTGCATTTCCTTTAAAACAGAGAACAGATGAAGAATCATAGCTCTTTGAAAGTAGGTTGTTTCTTGGCCCCGTTTTATCACAATCTCTTTGATTTTCAGGATCAGAATTAATAGCTATTTAAAAAAAGAAAAGAAAAAAATTGGAGTAGAGTACAAGGAGGGGGGAAACAGGGCAGCTGGATGCAGAGGATCCATGGCTGTTGTGCCCAGATGACAGCCTGGGATGCAGGTGGCAACCGGCTGGACCAAGGGAAGATCCTGGACAGACCTCCCCTCTTTTCAGCACAGGCACAAAACTTTCCATGTAGGGCTTAACTTTCAAGGTGCAAGGCAGCTGTACAGGAAAAAATAATGTTTCACTGGACTGAAAACCACTTCTCGGGAAGCATTAATACTTGTTCGCCATGTATAAATGCAGACATGAAAAGCAGAGACCTACAAGGAAAGAGAGACAGGCCAGAAATGTTTGTTTCCTCAATACAAGCTGTGCGATCATGGGAGACATGGAGAGGAACATTTTTATACGCTGCTTTTAACTCCGTGCACTGCATTTGTGGTCATTTCTCCACCCTGTCCACAACATCTGCTGAGACTCGTAAGATTTCTGTGAAAATTCTGAGCTCCAGGGAAACAGGGCTTAACTGTACCCAGACAGCATCAGAAGACTAAAGAATAAAGCAGCTCGTATTGAACATCTTTTTAAAGGGATTTTAACTAATTTTTTTCAAGAGGGCAATGGGGAACATAGACACCAAAGCAGCTTCCCAAGCTTTGCCTAAAGGAAAGAAATCATCCTATTCCAGCAGTAAGCATCAGCCATGACGGAAGCACCCCAGCAGCATGCACAGCTGTACCAACACAGCCAGCAGAGAAACCTCCTCTGGGCCACACCAAAGACCTGGGGACACAGTGAAATACGACATAGTCATGTGGCTCGTGGGTATCAAAAGGCAAAGCTTCTGTGCATCAGAAAAGTCACCTTATAGAAAATAAAGGGTAATGGGAGAGACTGCTGCAATAGTATGGTTCAGGATACCCACTAGCTTCCTGACAAAACTCTGACACTGTCCCATTTCACCTACAGAATGACTAGGAAAAACATCCATTCTTTTCCAAGTCAAAGCTTTTTCAAAGCATTATTAAGAATAATGAGAACCCACCGCTACAGAACAGAATCATTCAGGTTGGAAAACACCCCTGAGATTGTCAAGTCCAACCACAAATCTACAGTGCAGGATTCTGGTACTGGGCACAAACTCTGCTCCTACAAACACTCTCAGCTCAGCAAGATCCATCTTTATAAGCAAACCATGAATCTGAGCAGGTATCCTACCTCCAGATCCAAAATAACACATACATCAGTACTAGAAAAACACTTCAGCACAAGCACACACTCCAAAGCTTTCTCAAAAGAAGGCTGTGATTAATATTTACATATTAAAAACCTACAAAATTGCTTCAATTAAAACAAAGAAATTACCTTAATTGTTATGTAGTTTTTTAATGACTTTGACATTTTTTCTTGACTTCCTTTAACATGCAAATGCCCTATAGTAAAAAAAAAAAAAGTAATTAATCAGGGTAAACAAGTGTGCTTCTGAATAGTGAGCAAATGACAAAGACTGCACTCAGACACTGTAAATGTTGGAGGCAGCATATGCTATGCTGGATATATGCTGAACATTTCAAGGTAATTGGTAGCATTTTTCAATATCTTTGCCTACAGTCCTGCACATCCTCAAAACTTCCACTGGGTAAATTTTAAAATATAGACATTTAAAACATAAAAAAAAAAAAAACACCACCATAAGTCTCTCTGTTCAGAATTGACAATAAACTGATAAAGACAAACAAGCAAATAGTTTCAGTCTTCACAAGTACCTTCCTTACCTGTTACTCTTGACTTCTCAGAAGTATTTTAAGAAATACTTTCCAGTGATCTAGCATTAAAAAAATCCTTAAAACTCATTCTTCTGTACTTATTACTTGCTGATGGCTGTTAACATTATTTTTATACCCCAAAGTTTTATAGCACTGGTTCAAAATATCTTAAATGCAAAATGAATTTTCTACAGATTCTCAACTTCTCCAGACTTGTGAGACTGAGAAAAAGCAGTGTAAGGGAGGGATGCAGCTACAACACCTAATTTGAATTAGTTTATTTTGAAGTGTGATCTCTGAGCACTGCTATAACAAGCAATAGTCATACAGATCACTGCTCTGCAGGGCTGTAGCACAGGAAAAAGGTAGCAACACCGCATTTAAGAGAGTATGTAGAGCTTGGCTTTAGGACTGACAGTGCTGTTGAAGAAAGACAGGAGAGGTATAGCCTGAGGTTGCTTGCTTCCAGCGCTCATCCATGTGAGCTCATCCATCAGCACCACTGATGGAAAACACCAATTATTCACAGCACCAGAGAGACGGCAAACATGCTGCCACTCAGCATAGTTTCAGAAATGTTGTTAAAAGCCTTAATAGGCTTCTCCTAATGATAGAGCAATTCCGTAAGTTAAAACCACCCACAAATAACGTAAGATCTTAGGCATTTCTGTGACCTGCAGCATCTAGCATTTAATCATACTTTGAGGCAGATTTTTAAATTTCTCTTGCTCTGTAATACCCTACCAGTGCTACGTTCTTTCACACTTGGCAGCCCAGTGCTACCAATGCCTCAGAGAGCAAGGATAACATATGATCGTGCTCCTACTTTTATGAGTGGTGAGAGAAGCGGCATTTCTTGCTCAGCAACCCAAGCAGCTGTCTGCATTTTGTGCTACTCGCTGCACAGAGCTGCTTTCCAGCCTTGCCTGAAACCCTCTTGCTTCCAGAAGTAGATAAAATCCCCATTACACTCATCTGGATATGAAAGCAACAAGCTCAGGCCTAATAACTGGACCTGAAAAGCTCACAGTTTCACTCCTCAGCTACTTCTGATAATGACTCAAAGCAACAGGAAGTCACCATGAGAAGACTACCTCCAGTCCTACCCTGACCACCTCAAAATTTAATTTTGCATAACACAGTGTATGGAGAGTAGGAATAAATCAAAAAATCCAGGGATGCAGAACCCGCTATAGCAGCTACCCATGATAAAAAAAAAAAAAATCTTGCTTTCACTGTCTGTCCTGTCCGCTAGCAGGTGAGTCCACTTTCACCACTGGGACACTCAATAAGCATATTCAGGCTGTGAGACAGAGCTGGACACCTGCAGCGCTTGGGACTCAAGTTAAACCCACAGCCAATATTCTCCTGGGAGAAGGAGAAGGGCCTGGGTAAGATTACTTTCTCTCTTGCAAAGGTGCCTAAATACTGACTTAATTAACTTCAGGCAGACAAGCTTAAAATAGTTGGACTGTGTTTTCCTAAAAAGGTACCAGTAACATCTGAATTTGAATTAATATTCCTTTTCCAAGAGTTTCAGTACTTAGAATGATTTCATTCAAGAACACAAAATACAAGGATTTTCATAAGTTCAGTTTGGCACTCTTCCCAGAGTACAAGTAGTCTAAAAATAAAGTCCTTACACGATTTATCTCCAGTGCAGGGATTTTCTTCCGCTAATGGGGACTGCTCTTCCAATTCTGAGCTGCTAAAATTCTGAAGTCTGTTAGCAGAATAAATTGTTTCTGAAGCTGATTCATTTGCCCTAAATAATTCACATCATCATCCTCCAGCAAGACTTTCTGACTTAATGAATGTAATCTGTCAGCTCCTACAGAACTTCAGTGTAAAAATTGCCCTTGGAATTAAGTTCTCCCTTTTTTTTTTTAATTGACTCTTCTTTATTTAGCTGGTATCAAAAAATATTTTCCCTACAGATTCATTTCCAAGTTTGAAAAGCCAGATTCACTAGTTTGTCAACAGAAGGCTCCCCTTGGCAGTAACCTTGGCAGTAACCAATGCATCTCAATAGAAGTGCAGAGGATTCCACAACACCTCGGGAACAAAGCACATCCTGGAGGATGCACCAGCCTCTGGACAACTGCTATTGATTTACAACAGGCTCCACACTGGGAACTGAAACTAGAATTACATATTCATCCCATACAGTACAAATATATAAAAATGAAAGATCATGTAATTCCCAGAGTGCACTACAGGTTTAACTCTGCAGCTCTTCTACTCAGGGAAGCAGCTTCAAGAGTTCAGAGAGACATCCTGCCCAAAATACTAATCAGCAAAAGAGAGGCTGCAGACTTTAATCTGACTTTCTATTGACTTCAGAACCACCACGACTGCAACAGGAAGAACAAATGCCAAGGTTTCCATCAATGGTTACAGAACGAGAGCCATCAGTGATGGAGTTCAAAGCACTGTAAAGCACAAACGTCAGTGAATGAAGCACTTTTACGCAGAGGGAGAAAGGAGTAGTTCTGCATAATGCCAGGCAGTGTAACGTGTTCTCACAGCATGAAATGCCAAACTTAAAAAACCCAAACTATCGTATTTGTACAGGCCTCTCAAGTGATCAGTATTTTACTTACCAGAATGCAGAAAGTAATTCCCCCATTGCTCACACTGATGATACACCTCACACTGCGCAATTTCATTTTCATGATGAGGAAATGCAAGATCTATTCCACCGGTATGGATGTCCAGCTGTTTTCCAAACACTGCACTGTAACAATATTTTCCTGATCAGTAAGCAGAACACCACTAAAGCTTTTGGTAAAAAGAAATGCAGATAAAAATAAGATGAAACAATATAAATTTAAGCGTACAGCTTAGTAACTTCAGTTTTAAAACAAGACTTTACACATACCTTGGATACCAAAACTCCGGCAGAACTTGTATGGACAGGACAGGATCTGTTCACAATTACTTCTCTTTAGTAGAAGCAATTCTTATTCTACCTTAAAGGACAGCAAGTAGGATTCCTCCTTTCCTTGTTCTGCTACAGTTTCAGTATCAGACAGGTGCCTTTATGTGCAAACCTAACAACTTACTTCTATAAATTTGGTATTACTCTTCCTTATCTTGTACCTTTTCTGTAAGAATTCAAACAATAGCGTGTGCAGTCAGGTGGGCAGGTTAGCAACTTTATTTTGCCTATCTGTTAAACAAAGTTTACATTTACAGCCTCATAGGGATGTGAGTCAACCTTAACTGCTCAGAAACCAGGAGTGCTCAAGCAGGGAAAGATGCAAGGCCTACAGACAAACACACAGGTCTCCCATATGTCACCTTAACAAGGTGCTCCTGGTAGCTGACTAAACATTAATACTTTGGTCCTTTTTCGAGAAAAAACACCCTGCTAACACTGTGCCACTTCTGCCACAGGCAGAAGCTGTTGGGGCACAGGAGGAAAAGACAAGGAGGAAAAGAGAGGAGGGAAGAAAGAGCAGCTGTCCCCATCTCCCAAGTCCATCCTTCTCTGCCCGTGGCTGCTTCAAAACCAGCTAAAGTACAAGTCTTCCCAGGACTGACCCTCACCTTCCCTTGTGCCACCTGCAGAGGAGCACTTGACGTTTCCTCCAATAAAACCAGTAAGAGCTGGAGAGAGGTGACAGATTGATCTGCCAAATGCACAGGGCCAGGATGAGCCACCCACCTCACCACAAGGGAAAATGCACAGAGAAGATCAGACCTGAGGGGCTCAAAGCAGGGAATTCCCTCCTCCAGGGCTGCTCTAGAGACCAGAGACTCTTCATTCACAGACTTACAAAAATTAATTCACCTAACATAGTTAAAGTGCTTTGAGATACTTGGCAAAACAGCTAAGTAAGTATTGCTTAAAAATGGGCCTTCAGCAGCTGACTAGGATAGCAAATTGGTTTAGGTCACTTACCAGAGTAAGCCCTCCATTTTTCACAGTCCAAGATTATTACAATCATGCTCTCCATGGGTCAGCTTTTATTTATATAGCAGGAGCTTCATCCAGCCTCAGTAAAATACATTTTTATGGAAAGAAATACAGGCTATAAACAGCACTGCATTAGCAGACAGACCATGTCATACCTGGCATTTCTTATCTGTGCACTTCTGCCAGAGGTTGTACATCAAACACAGCATGATTTTGTGCACTTTGATTGCTTTAAGAGCTGCCTCACTATGCTGAAACTATTTACAGACAAAAAAATCACTGTTATAAACACTTTTCACAAGCAGGTGGAAATGACTAACAATCCCAAGTACACCAGAAAAGCCTATGAAAGAAAAACCTAAACCAGTTGTTTCCACCTCCTTTCAGCTTTAGCTGAAAATTTAAGCTGAACAAGGTCAGATCTAAACTATTTCTTATTAGCTTCCAAAAAAAGATCTGAGACTAATGCAGAACTAAGTATACTATCAATCTTCCAGGAGAGAAGACTTTTTCTCCTGTGGTGAAAATAAAACTTTAAATTAAGAGCAAATTACATCAAACCAACTGCAAGCAAAACACTACTCAGTAAGAACGCTGAATAACACTTAGATTATTAGCATGCACATCCACAGCTGCTGTTAAGATAAGGCCAGGAAGACCTCATAGATCAAGCTGTAATCGCACACCTTGTCCTCCTGACACCTACATCCTGAACTAGGTCTGATGGAGACTGCTAGAAGTGGAAGGGCAGCAAATGAAAGAGGTACCATAACTTTCACTACCTTTGGTTGCTCAGCTCAAGTTAAAAGCATATGCTATGAATGATATATGCAGAACATTTCAAGGTAATTTAAGTTAAAAGATTGCTAATCAACTGTGTGATCCCATGCGCCGTATTTTAAGCACCAAGTCTGACTGAAGAGAAGGTGCCAAAACATAGAGACAGCTGTGACAGTAAAGTGAAGCAGAGTTTATCTGGGCCACATGTGACATCCCAAGTTGCACAAAATGGTCACATTAAAACCAGTGCTATCTATTGATCAGAAAACACTTTCAGTACTGCTGCTACCATTGCACCGTGATTGAAAACAAAAAATAGCATTAGATTTATCAAAATCCAAGAAATCTGACCTCGATATTGTGGAACATTCAATGTGCCATCCAGGTCGTCCTTTTCCCCAGGGAGAATTCCAAGATAGCTCTTGTGGCTTGGCAGCCTTCCACAGGGCAAAATCTTTACCATGTCGTTTATCAGAATCAACTGGCAAGAATAAGTGATTTGTTAATGGAATATGTCTCAAAGAAAAAAAATGACCAAATGAAAGCAAGAGGAAATGTGTGTTTAGTGAACTACTCTGATTTTAATCCCCTTCAATCAACTTCTTTTCACTACAACTTCCTTCTCTTCCCCCTCACACAGGGGAAAATTGAAATATTGAAATAGATTTTGACAAGCTACAAAGATGGATTCAAGATTCCTTAATATATCCTATCCTATCAGTCCTTTTATCCTTCCCTGGTTTGCATTATTTTTTATTCCTTTACATATCAGTTACATATTAGCCAGTTTCCCCAGGACAAATTGACTGCACTACAGCAGAAAAGGTTACAAAACCAAACCAAAACACACAATTTTTTTCTCTGAGACACAATTTCTTTGTGTTTTATACTTTATAAAACAAAGTGCACAGAGGTAAGAATCAAAACTATTCTTGGACAGTAGCAATTTTTCTGTACAGTTTTCACTAATGGGTTCTCTACAAAGGTTTTCTTACAGCTATATTTGTTCTTTCCTTCACTACATACAAAAAGGATGCAGTCCTTTTTGTCACAATACTGCAGGGCTGTTCACCTCTGCTGACTCCTAACCTACAGTCAAATACACAGCACTCCCTGGCAGGAGCCACAGAGTCCACTGTTCTGGACTCTGGACTTTCCTTCTGAGAAATACACAACCTCACTTTTAGAATCATACAACTCAAAATTCCTAAGAACTACAGATACAGAAATACAACCCTAGTTTTATCCACTGAATCTTCACCTGGGCTCTTTCACTAGATTGCCAAATTCTGAGTATCTGCTGACTCCAACCCTCTTTTGCCCTTTTTTGAGTATACTGCTACAAAAGAGCACTCTTCAACTTCTCAGCTGTAAGCAAAACAAGTGTCAAAATCTTTAGTTGTGACTAGAGGGGAAGCAGGGTAAAACACATAATCAGTCACAGCTGAGGCTGGAAGGTACATCTGGGGACAGTCTAATCCAACCCTCTGCTCAGAGCAGGTGCAGCTACAGCAAGCTGCCCAGAATGGTGTCCAGTAAGACTTTGACTACCAGCAAGGATGGAGACTCCACAGTCTCTCTGAGCAACATGGTTTGTGTTAACCATCCTCAGGGTAAAAAGGATTTTTCTTAGCTTAAAATGGAATTTCCCATGTTTCAAGTTGTGATCAGTGCCTCTTGTCCCATCACCACAGAGAAAAGCATGGCTCCATCTGCTCTACTCCATCAATATGAGTACACATGGGTAGGATTCCCCTGAGCCTTCTCTTCTCCAGGCTGAGTGGTCCAAGCTCTGTCTGCCTTTCCTCATGTGAAAGATGCTCCAGTACCTCCATCATTGTTGTGGCCCCTTGCTGGCCTTTTTCCACTGCTGTTCTGGGGAGCCCAGCAGCAGACCTGCACTCCAGGCATGTCTCACCTCCGCTGAGCAGAGAAGGATCACCTCCACTGAGCTGCTGGCAATGCTCTTCCCTGTGCAGCCCAGGAGGCTGCTGGCTCTCTGCAGTCAGTAATTACCTCTAAATAAGTGTTGACAAGACGCATTCCCTCTGTAAGCTGTAAGGCTGAAACAACTCCAGAGCAGAGCTGTGAGAAGTTCTGGCTGCACCTGATCATCAGCCTCCAAGGCATTTTCAGTAATTACAAACAGATTTTTTTGTAATGATGAAGTACTGAAATTTAGTTTGCAAAAGGATGCAGGAAACCTAAATAAAATTCTCTGATGCAGAGACCCGACCAGATCCTTACTACAGAGAGGTTCAGCAATCCTGCAAAGCAGGAACTGGAGCAAAATCCCCACAGCCCAGGGTATAGGTCTGCTCTAGCACAGCCGATGAAGAGATTGCTCACCCTCACACTGCTTAGCTCAGTGATAAGTAATGAAGGAAGCAATTAATCCAGTTAACTTCAGAGCAGTGCAACTGCCCCAAGAAGAACATGGTAGGTGAGGTTTCTTTGTGTTTTCCCTTGAGTACCTCACTGCTGCCTACTGCAACAGCAAGAACACCACCTCACTGTGAAGTTTCTATGTACCACTGCCAAGTATTTAATTAAAATTGCTTAAGAATCCTAATTGTTCTATGGTACCAGAACAAAGGTATAGAGGGAAAGATGAAAGAAAGAAAAACTAAGTTTTCTCCTGCACTGGCAAGAGTGAGTGCCTCAAAAAATAACTACAAAAGCACTGTAATCCTAATTAACCAGAAGTTAGCTATACACAATGGGTTAGAAAATTGTTTCAGACTGTTGATTGAAAATTTGCACATAGATGCAAAATGCATTCAAAAAATGCATTAATGCAAATAAGCTCATGCCACAAACTTACCTGCTTCATCTTGGGTATCAGGGTTAATAGCAGTTAACACTCCGTATCTTCTTCCCCAGGATTTAACATCAAAATAAACATTGCCTAATATAAAAGAAATATTTAGTTGCATAGCAAAGATGGGGCACATTGATGAGAACTTGATAGCATTTCCCCAAAAGCAAAACAAAGTGTTATTCCACTCCCATTTGAAATTCTGATTTAGAAATTCAGAAATACTGCCAAAATAGTAGCAGATGTTTCCATGTTATCCAGCTTTTCAGGAACCTCTGTGCACATGCTTATTCTGCATGTGCTCTGTGCACACAACTCTGAATTCTGGAGATCTCCCAGGTTCTTCCTTCCCCATGCACAATCACCAATGCCCTCCCCTACAGCAGCTCAAGCTACACCTAGTCCAGTTACAATGCATTTGAATTCTTCTACAACCACCAGCTCTGCTAAAAAAGAAATCCACACGTTTTGCTTTGCAGACACACCTTCTACAGCACAAAGGAGACAGGCAGTTCCTCTTCAGAGGTTTCCCCCAGCATTCTTGTAGAAACCAGGCCAAGATTTCCCCAAGGAGTTTAGACAGCAGTTTATTACAGTAAACAATTATATTAAATAATGAGCTACATTTAACTTAGAAATTGAGTAATAGCTGTTCTGCCCACTCATGTCATCACAAACAATTCACTCACACCCTCTTAAGCAACAGAAGGAAAGCCTGGCACAAGGTATCTCATTTGATTCCAAAACAAGATTACTAAGAGCAGTGACTTCCTATACATGTGCTGAACAAGGAGTTACCTTGCTCAAATGCTTACCTTGCGAGGTTGCATAAGCTTGTCCACTGGACATTATTGTTTCTATAAAGGAAATTATTTGAGGAATATTGTCAGTCACCCTCATATATACCGTAGGAGGAAGGACCTTAAAGAAAGAGTAACATCGCATTAACACACTGCCTATGAGTTCCTTCACTCTAAGAAAAAAACTGAAAAGCTAAATTTTATCTTTTAAAAAAAGTTGCAAGTATCATAAAAAAATCCATAAGCAGTATTTAAGATAATACACATACAGAAAAAATATTTGAGGGGTAGGAAAGAAAAATCCTGATTTTCCCAGTGGCTCACTCTCTGCTTCTAACAGAGAGACAAGAAGCAAAGTCACCTGAAATCAATGAAAGAAGATTTCGTGTTCCCTGTGCTTTCAAACAGGCTATTTCTGCATTATAGTAAATATGCAGTATCTGTGAATCAAGGATCTACTGAATATGGAAAAATACTGTTCAAAAGTTTCATTTATTCATTCCAAAGATCAGGATTGCTTCTCCCTACATTTCCTTACTCAAAAGGTTTTTCATTCCAGAAGAATGAAAAAGTAAATCAGCACTCAGTTTCCAAGCAACAAATTTATTTTTTTCAGATCCAACTCTTGAAACCAGATTCTTTACCAAAATAATTGCTTAGAAATACTCTTATATTTAGAATCTCAGGTATTTGTACCTTTAAGGCAGCCATATCTTGTTTAAAGTCTTCTTCATAAATACGAGCAAGAGCTATTGGCGATATATTCATCTAAAAAAAAAGAGAAACAGATTAGCAAACCATAAGTCAGAGTAATGACATAAAATATGGCAATCTTTTCTCAGACAGCTAATAGCTAATTGGAAGACTTAGAGAGCCCTCAAGGTAAAGCGTCAGAAAGGCTTATTAATCTAACATTGACAGGGAGGAGATGTAAGTTATAAATAACTTAGAAGTAGTATTTCATTTATGTGTCTCAATTTCCAGAATATTGATATATCTCTTTTAAGAGAAAGCAACCGAAGACTAAAATAATAAACTCCTTCTCTCTCTATTATTTTCCTCTTGAGAGGGTCTTTCATTTCTAGTGACAAAATATACTACTATACACAAGACATAAAAACCATTCAACTTACTGGCAGGAAACACCAATACCACCTACGTGTCAGAAAGACAGATCAGAGACTTGCAGAATGAGACAAGATATTAATTTTCAGTGATTAAGAAAAATAAGCTATTTCAGCAGATCATGGGTACTCATAGATCTCAATATTGAAAGCCATTTCCATGCTTTGCCAAGTCTGGCATTTCTCAAGCACCTTCTCTACATTTCTCATTCATGAGACACAAACAGGTTCCTCTTGCAGAGGGGATGCGAAAATGCAACTCAAAAGGAAAGGTACTTGCACATGGTAAGGTACTTGTTCTCAAATAGTCAGAAGAGGCCAGGGATTGAAGGATGCATGACAGCAAAATCTGCCCTAGCAAGCAACAGCGTGGTACCAAAGTGTTTCAAATGCATGTTTTTACATCTTCTCTGAGAATAAACCACTGGGGAGAAGACAACGTACTGTCAAGTCTCTCCATCTTGCAGGTAACATTAACAACTTAAATCCCATTTCAACACTTCCAATTCATTACTGGAGCATCTTTATGGGTTCTGATTTTGAGAGCACAGGTGGGTACCACTGTTTGTACAAACTCCTGGACAAAGCAGGGGTTCTGGTGACAGTCCAGATGTTCATGAAGCAATGATATGAGGACAATGCTCAGCACCAAAAAATAAAGACATGCATTGCCTACAGGCCAGTGACTGGATTCATCTCCCTAGACAGCTCAGCTGCTTCCTTGATCAAGCAAGAAACAAAGGTGCCTACAGAAAGAAGATGGAGAATTTCCTCCCATCCAGATGGACGTTCAACACACAAAGAGACTCATCTCTCTCTCAAAGGACACTGATGGCTTGCAGCACGTTCATCACAAACTAGTGCCAACTTTCAGGTTTTCCCCACATGAACCCCACCAGGGGATGAAGAACAAGCTTAGGCATGTTGATTCTACCACTGTAATGCTTCAGATGCACAGGTTCCAACAACAAAAGCAGGCTACTGAGGTAAAGGCCTTGGCCATCCAAACAAAATGGTTGACCAAACATTTCAAAAAGTCACCAAATAAAAAACCAAGAAAAGATGACTTAATAGAACCAAAGAATGCAGTGAAGCAACACATCTTTCAAGAACATGCCATTTCCCTCCTCCTCAAACACAAAAACTCTAAGATGTTCTGACAATAAGGAAAAATTTTAAAATGTAAACATGGATTTAAAATGCCTGAATTTTGGAGGGGGATTATTTGTTTTGGAATTGTTTACTGCCTTAGAAAACAGTAAGTAAATGGACTAAGGGAACAGACAATTTCTACTTGAGTGGTGTGCTAGTGTTCACTTGAATGCAGGGGCCTATATTTAACTGAGAAAGTAACTGTTTACTTAAAGATAAGTAAAACGAACAGCTGTCAAATTCTCTGACTCCAAAAAGCTATCTTATAGCTTGCAACTGCAATTCAATCCAACACATTCACTTATCATTCCAAAGACATGAGTTACAGAATCTACAATCAAATTAAACAAAAAGACTTAAAATGCAGAATAAAAACACAGAATACACTCTTATGCCAAAGTGTTCAAAACGTGGTTTTAAAACCATAAAATAATAAAATAATTGCAGTAACTATTCACCAAGATCATCTCATAAAAAAGGCCAGATTAAAATTCAGCTGAGAACCACTTACAGCCCCAGTCTTACCAAGACTTACCCCTACACACAATGTTAACTTTCCTGTGGGTGACAGCCAGGCCTGGTGAAGCTTTCCAAGGTGCTGACATTACAGCTAGATGGTGCTCGGCTCCTTCCAGGAACTGCCCTCCGCCCCACGTGGCAGTGCTGCATGTACTGCCTTTCATGACCACCACACACAACACTTCTCCAGAACTCACTCAGAATCCTTCTGGCTGCTAAGTTTTGGGATAATTTCACTGTGCTGAGGATTCACACAAGGCTTTTGCTCCCTGCTAGCCTCTCATGCCGGGGGAGAGGGCAGGAGAATCCCAGCTGTGGGTGCTGTAAGGTAGCTCACTCTCTGCCTCCCCCATCACACAGCTCTGGACACTCAGCCCTCCTCACTCCCAGACCTATTACAGCCACACTAGGGGACCAGAAATCTCAACATTTTTAAACATAATTAAAACAAACATAACTCAACCAAAAAAAAAAAAAACCCAAACACAGGTTAATTTTCCTATATAAGTAGCTTAGAAAATACCAAAAGGTTAGTCAAAGACTGCAGCAAACACCTACCTCATTGGCTCTTTTTATTATCTTGTCATCTATGTCTGTGATCCCCATCACCATGATAACTTCAATTCCAAAAAACCTTGTCATTATCCTTCGAATTATATCAAACCTAACATAGGAGCTGGAAAAGAAAGAAACACAAGCTTTTGAACATGCAGCAGTAAGAATAAAGTTAAACAAAAATAACCAACAGCCACAGAGACAATCTAATTAATCCCTATACCTGCAATGAAAAGATCTTCAGTGCATAAGGTGTTTTTCCAAAACCAGTTGCTACCTGCACAAAAGTCAAGCAAATTTCTCTTGAACCGGCCTACCCTCTTCTGGCATCAGTGACACATTACATCAGATTTTCTGAGTGTTTTCTTTTGTTGCATCTCTTTATTCAAAGGGTATCACAAGCTACAGGAGCTGGGAGACTCTTTCAAAGCCAATAGGACAAAACAAGACACAGAGATCAGATGTTCTTGAAATACATCCCTTGGGCTTAGTATACCCTAACAGGTTTTCAAAAGTCATGCAGCAGAAGAACAGGGAGAAATAAAGCAGGATTCAAATTAACTTTTCTTAGCATTGAGAACAGATACCAGCCACCAATTAAATATTTCATTCATAAGTGACCACAGATCTGTTCTGATAGCAAAGAGTAGATGCTCTATAGCTTATTCTGTTTTATTTACGCTTGAGAATAAAAGCTATTCTGAAAATTATTCAGGGCTTTTGCCACAAAGCAGAGTATTTAATGCCAATGGATTGATGATATACAAGCTGTATAGGGTTGTTGCAGCTCCTTCTGCTCACAGACCCTCCATTTGTAATTCCCAAAACACACTTTGACTTAGTTAAACCAAATTACTAGCTGGCATACTAGAAGGTGACTAAAAACTCTGTGTCTGCCTTGCAAGATGATGAGAATCCTCAGTCTATCTGGGCTCTGCTCTCCCCAAAGCCAGCAAGGAGGTTCACAGACCTACAGGTTCCCATTTCACCCACAGCATCACAAAAACTCCAACTCCCATGGCCATCAGAACAAAGAAGGGTAAGCAACTACAGAAATGGAATTGCACCCTTCACTGCAGGTGCCAGGTAGCACTAAGGTACTGATTTATGGATGCATAATATCTTGATGAAGAAAAATACTTTTAGTTGTTGTTTGTGCCGTGCCCATGCTGAAAAAAGAATTTTTTTAAGCCTTGCTGCCAGGGAGATAGTTTTTAATGAATAGCAGCTCACTGGGAGTAAGGTTGATCTAATGTGGTGACATGATTCCATAAGAATATTAAATTGGCCTTTGGATCCTGTTCAGAGGAACAACGCCAGCATCAAAAGCTTGATATTAGATTTAACAGCCCTGCAGTCACTGTTCCCAGAGCAGGCACAAATTTCACACTGTTCCCTCTCCTCTCATCTTCCAACTGAATTAATGGAAGAAACTCTGCAAGAGCAGATTTCCAGATACCACAGGGTCTTTACCACTTCAGGACTGATTAAAAAAAAACAGCCAAAACAGACAGTCAAGATCAGGGCTGGAAGAGCACTTGCAAGAGAAATCTCTCATGGTTGGTTTTACTCTTACTTCAAAGATTCAGCCATGGACCTCAATGCCAACCAGGCTGCAGGTCAAACCAGTAAAATCAAGGTCAGACCCAGAACTGGGTAAAAAAATAGTATTATTTGCCTGTCTTACTTTTTTCTCTATATAGAATGGGGTGTTGGATGTCATATGTAGGCAGACAGAGCATCTGTTTTTAACACTGGAAGCACAGCGTATTAGAGAATGTTAAATTTTTTAGAGGAATAAGAACTCCATGTGGAATGGAAAGAGGACAGAAGAAAAATAATGCCATTATTTCCAAATTCTCCTCAAGGATTTCGAATTCATTTCTATTATTCATTTCTGCTTTATTACCTGCTCCATTTGCTGTGTTTGACATGAGTCAAATGTAAGACAGAGGGGAAAAAAAGGGAATTCTAGTGAGAAGAGAACATGTGGCAGGAATACAACAAAATGATGGTATTTAACAGGAGTAGCAGAGCAGCAACAGCCACCACTCCATTTGACTTTATGCTGTTTCCCAGTTCCTCTCCTGGCCCCCAACAGCAGCATACAGTTCAGCTGTTCTATGTTTGGACCTAGCTACTGGGGGAAAACAGATTCCATTTTAAAAATAAATAAATAAATAGAACCACGAGTGCTCCACCATCCTGAATAAATCAGCTGAGCAACAGGATGTCAACACTGACATGTGTAAGACCAGAGAGACTGGAAAGGAACAGCCAACTCCTCCCGCCCTGGAGGGTTTAATTGATGAAAAAAGAGAGCAAAAGGTCTTCAGTGCAGATACCTTGTCAGGCAACAGGAACAACACATGAAGGTGCTTAAAGAGGTGCTAAAAGAAAGACTTATACCTGGTGTATCTGCATGATACACCAAAGGCAATATTCAGCACTAACCATTCTTTCTTAAATTAGCACGTGAAGAGGTCAGACCCGGGTGACACAGATGTATGGCAAACCTCCACAGTGGGAAAGCTTGAAATTGCTAGTTTAGACATGGGTAAGAAAAGATGGGTTAAAAAAACAGGCAAGTGTAAGCAAGGCCTTTCTATTCCCTCTTTTAATCAAGAAAGTCTGAGGGCAAGAGAACTACTGAAAAAAAACCCCAGACATTTAAAAGCCACAGAGAACTGCAAGACCAAAGGGTGAAATTCTCCATCCTTCACCTCTAGGTCACCTATACCCCTTAGGACAGAAGCACCTCTGCAATTCCCTTCCCTATTACACCATGTCAGGGAAGACAGGCCCTACCACACTAGGGAACTTCAACTGAGGGAAAAAGACAAGTAACTTATAACCATCTATTTTACACAGTTACTTTCAAGTGATGATTTTAAATCATAATTATTTCAAGGTAAACTGTAATGGAGCCTGTATCTCAATGAGCTGTAGATTTAAATACACAAATTACTATGACTTTCAAATAAAAGAAGTTCCCCTGAAACTACTAAGTACAAACAACACGTCCAAGATATCGTGTTCTTGATTTTTAGTTCATCAGTAAAAAGCTAGGTCAGTTTTCTGCTGAGACTCAACAAAAGCAAGGAGGAAAAAGACACCACAACATATACAGAACAGTACAGTAGCATTAACATTAGCATTGACAACAGTACTTTCAGATAACTGCTATTTTAAGTCTTCCTTTTTACAGAACAAGGCAGCAGTTGTGCAGTTACCGTGATGGATCAGTTCAACATGAGCAAGATTCAACACAAGTTTCTGAATGAAGCTGAGACAGGATGAGAAGCTGTGAAATCCCTTACATTAAACAGGAACTATTCAGTTACTGAAATGCACAACAGCTGATATTCATACAGATGGCAATTATCTGATAAACCCCTGCTCTTCCAAACAGTCCTACACAACTTGCTCTTTAAGAATGCAGAGACAGAACCTTAAGAGCAGCTTGAGCTGCTGCAACCCCCCTCAGTTTTACAGGAATAGCACACATCCTGCAAAGTCTACTCATCAGGTGTGCTGTTTTGAAACAAGTGCCAGCAGCCTCTTCTGGTGTATTTAAAGTACTTTTTCAAAGTTACTTATAATGAAACCAGCTTATTGTTCTAACAATCCTAATGAACTACAGAGAAAAACCTGTGATGTTCTGGATTCGTTTTTTGTTTTTAAACATTGTAAGCCACTGCAGTGTTACTCTGCAAAAAGGCCTTTAAGCTACCTGACTTTTCTGAGATTTAAGATGCGATGTGTTCATCTGTGAATCTTGAAAGTACCTTTCTATTAGCCAGTCCTGCATGGCTTTTCCTTGGTGGAAACACAGTGTCCCAGCTAAACCTGCATTGAAACTCTTTTCACACAGCTGAGAGGCTCTGCTCCAGGATGAGGACTCTTCCACATGAGAGGTCACATTATGCTGATATGATTTGTAACAACTCACCCTACCCAAACAAACTGCACACATTCCTAATGCTTCTTCCCCAGACAAAGACATGCACTGTCTCTGCCTCAGTCAGGCAGCAGAACCAACAGCCCCTTTACAGACTACCCCAGCCCAAGAGGAAAAAATACATAATAAACAGACTTTTGACCTTTGCACAGCACAGGAGGTGAAGGGCTGGGCCTCGTGTCACCAGTCACGGACACACACTGCAGCCTGGGGATGTCCAGTACCATGTATCCACCTGGATCCCCTGGCACCACTGGCACGGGGGTGTCCAGCACTGTGTATCTGCCTGGATGGCCCCATGCTGCAATCCACGACTCACCAGGCATGCCCGAGGTGTGCATGGTCATACACTGTCGGCCCACAGCTGTACCTGCAGAGAGGGGAGGCAAACAGAATCACAGACTTGTCAGGGTTGGAACATCACCCAGTCCAAACCCCTAGCAAGGCAGGATCACCTACAGCAGGTGACACAGGAATGTGTGCAGGCAGGTTTTGAATTTCTGCAGAAAGGGAAACTCCAGGAGCCACCCTCAACATAAAGAAGCTCTTTCCCATGCTGAGGTGAAACTTCTTGTGTTTTAGTTTATAGCCACTCTTGCCACTAGGCAATGCCAAAAGGAGCCTGGCACCATCCTCTTGACACCCATCTTCGAGATATTTATATGTATTGATGACATCCCCTCTCAGTCTTCTCTAGACTTAACAGGCCCAGCTACTGCAGTCTCTCCTAGCAAGAGAGGTGCTCCGGTCCTCTGGTCACCTCTGTGACACTTCGCTAGACCTTTTCCAGTACCTCCATATCTTTCGTGTACTGGGGCCCAGAACTGGACACAGGAGCTGTTTCCGGACACAAACCGCTCCTGTCACCCCGCCACCCCCAGGCCCGCCCGCCGCGCCGCAAGGCGCTACCAGGTCGCCACTCCTTCCGTGGCCAGCACGAGCGGCTCCTTGCTCTGGCTCCGGCTGTTGTAAGCCACGATCCCGCTGTCGCGCCCCGCCGGAGGCGCCCACTGCCGCCGCCGCGCCGCGCCCGAGCACCGCCGCGCCCCCGCCTGCCCCCGGCCGGCACCGGCAGCGGGCCCGAGCCCGCACCGCCGGGCCGCCGCCGCCGCCCCGCGCAGCATGGCCCGCACGCTGCCCGGCGGGCAGCGGCACAAACCCGTGACAGCCGCGCCGCCTGCGCGGGACCCGCAGCGGAGCGCGGCCGGAGAGCAGGAAGGGGCGGGGCCTGCGGGCGGGGCCGGGCCGCCCCACCGCCTCCCGCCGGGCCGCGGGGCAGCGCCGCGGCCGCTCCGCCCCGCCCCGGGCGCGCTGCGGGAGGTGCGGGCCTGCGCCGGCCCGGTGTCGCTGGCACCGCGCGTACCTAGCCTTGTGCTCTGGTGTAACCCCAGCGCGGCTTCTTCGTAGCGAGGTTTCTAAGGGAGACGGCTGTAGGAAATCTGTGACTAATTCAGCATAATGGTCTCCACTGTGTCAAGTCAATTCGGTCACTTTAGGAGTGAATCTATCTTTGCATTGCCTTTCAGGTCAGAGAATGGCTGGCAGCCTGTTAGCTCTTGAAAATAAAACATGGTGTGACATTCTTGTGTTTTAGTTTATAGCAAATAATAAATCAGAGTCTCAGAAAACACTTCATAAATCAGTCTCAGAAAACACTTAATGCACCCCCTGACTCCCACATACTTGTATAAAGTGTTACCTGACCTAGACATTTTCAAAAATGACAGCAAGTGCTGCTGAGTACTTGGTGAGGTACCCTGGCCTTTATCCCAGCTGACTGTCAAGGTCTGCTTCCTCATAGGGGATTTTTTTTTTTCTTTCTTTCGGAGCATATCAAGAAAATGGAGCTTAACTGGCTGCAGTATTTTGAACCAACTGGGAAACTATAAGCTACTCAACTAGAATGAATAACAATGTAATGGAACAGACATAAGAGTACTAAAAGGATTTTTGAACAAGTACCTTGTTTCCAAAAGTGACTATGAGCAGGTACCAAGGAAACAAGTGAGAATTCCACAAGCTTATAATCATAAAGATGATCAGAGGGATGGAACAGGTATCCTATGAAGACAGGCTGAGAGAGCTATGGTTGTTCAACCTGGAGAAGGCTCCAGGGAGACCTTACAGCACTTTCCAGTACCTAAAGAGGACTTACAAAAAAAAAAGGAGAGAACGACCTTTTACATGTACAGATAGTGATAGAACAAGGGGGGAACAGTTTTGAACTCAGATTTAGATAGATGTTAGGAAGAAATTCTTTATTCATAGGGTAGGGAGGTTTGGGAACAGGTTGCTCAGAGAAGCTGTGGATGCCCGATCCCTGGAAGTGTTCAAGGCCAGGCTGGATGGCACTCTGAGCAACCTGGTCTAAGTGAAAGGTCTCTCTGCTCATGACAGCGGGGCTGAAACTGGATCATCCTTAAGGTCCTTTCCAACCCAAGCCTTTCTATGATTCTGTGTATATTTTCCCAGATATTTTTCCAGCTTCCAACCAGATGGCATCCTCAGCTGAATATCTTGTGATTTTTTTTTTTGCCTCACCCCCCCAAGTTTATGAACCCATCCTCATAGATTTCTGTACCATTAATTTCCCCATTCTCTGTGAACCCACATCAATCCCAGGCTTTGCCAAGGAGTACTGCAGGTCTAGTGCATCTTTAGGAAGCACCCTCTTGGCATGTGTTGAACTCAAGGCCTGTGAGCTCCAATTGTGGCCACCCTTGCTCTTGTACAAGGAGAGTGAGTGAACTGCCAGTGCCAGCACGTTGTCTGTCCTGCTCCTGTATTCTACACAATCCTCTAAACAGGCTGTTCAGGGCAGACCCTTTTCAGATCTCTCAGACCACTGCATTACCTGCTAAGGCACCTTGCTGGCCTTTGGGAGGAAGGTAATACTGAACGCTCACAGCTTTTCTGGACTGGGTGTTGCAGGTTGCCTGTGGTGAGCTGCCTCACAGAAGTGTTTGTGTTGTTTCTTCTTCTATCTGCCAGGGATGACTTTAATAGATTTTTCCCATAAGTAATAAGATCATTTAAAATTATTGCTTTTACATAATACTTGATGTCTGTCTACACCTTACCTAATTTTAGATCATATCAGCTATAAAGCCCTAGCAGTGGCATATGTTTCCTTTTCCTTTTAATAGGTACTTTCCATAGAATTTGTCGTTTAACAATCTGAACTTTTTGATCAAATAAGAAACCTATTTTATGGGCTTGTTAATTTAAGACTACCTAGGATGAAATTCAGGATACCATCCAATAACCTTTGTCAATGTTTGCTTTGTATGTTTCTCAGGAAGCTTCACAAGCCAATTATTTCAGCTTCCATAATGAGCTGGTTTTGATGTCTTGCTGTTCAAAACACATCTAGTTAAGAGTTGTCATTAACTGTGTTGTCTTCTTTGTTCTGTACAGTTCCAAGCACTTTGACAGAGTACAAATCAATACTAAGTAACAATGGATGTTTTTTAGGCTTAATTCCAGGTATAGCTATCATGGATAAAACTGCCAACAGATCAGAAGAATGCAAGAGCCTTTTCTTTCCCATTGGTTTCAGAAGGCTTAGTGTCTGTGCTAGCCAGACTGGCTTTTAGCATTTAGTCCCAAAACTGTGCTGCTGTAAAATGTTCCTTTCTGACAGTGGGAAAAGTCACAATTAATAAATGTCTGAAATAAACAGCTTACATCATTCACGCTTGAGATTTAATGCAATAGAATACATCCAGTGGAATGGTGGAAAGTGTTCTACAAACACAGAAGTACAAAAAGAACCTAATTTCAAATAAAAGCAAAACTAATCCTGGTGGATAAAAACCATAAATTATTCACGTTAACAATACCAGCATTCTCAGAATCAATTGGTCTGTGGCTGTAAGCATACCTCTACTTTATGTCACCTATGTACTCCTGCTCTGGGACATGTGCAAGGACACAAGTCATCTACCAGAAAGGCAGAATAGCAGCAAAAGATGTTATGCCATAAGGAGACTTTTGCTTCCACCTGGAGTAGAAGATGCCTTTGGTGGTTGTGAGCAGTTGGAGCCAAGGTACACATGATCAGTGCCAGGCCTGGGCCTGCTGTACTCCTGTTACTTCAGTACTTGCTGAATAGCCAGGAGGAAATGTGATCTGCAGAGCAGTACAGCTCTTAGTCACAATCTCACTGTGGCATGTCTGTCTGAGCTTCAGGTAAACTGTTGTCTCAAGAGGACACACATGGATTTAATATTGTCAGGTCATGTTCTCATGTTTTTCTTAGGAGTCATCAAGGCTAAAAGTTCCTTTAAATCAAAAACTGAAACTCAGAGGTAAAAGTGTAACTCCTGAACACCTTAGAAGGGATCTCTATGTTTTCTGTTCCTTTATCTCTGTGTGTAAGAAGGCAGTATGTACATTTCCCCTCAATCCTTGATTAAGAAGGAAGTCTGTCAGAAGCACAGCTGTGTGTGCTGTCCACCAGCACTGCTGGCAACATTTCTGTGGTGAGCAGGGAGAATTTTTGGGGATTTTGGCTTGCCTGGCTTCTATATTTTCCAGTTTCCAGTCCCAGGAATACCCATAACATTTGCCCCCAGAGGTTAGATGCATATTTTGTATTATACATGAATTAAGCTAAAAAACAATTTTCCATTTCCATGTAGCATTAGGAGACACATGCTTTGTTATTTTTTAGTTTCCCCTCACTGCTAAAGATGCTGTATTTTTTCTTATAAAAAATTCAACCACACCAATTTAGAATTGTTGACATGAAAAAGGTTGCATTTGCTGTGCTAAGCAAGAGCATGTTTCCAGTATCTGTGGCCCTTCTCATCAAGTTCTAGTTGAGAAACCTGCAAGGAAGCCTGAACCTGAGAAAATATAGGGGCAAAGTTTATAAAGACAAATTGCAAACCAGAAGCAAAGATGAGCTACATTCACTGCAGTGGACTGAATTTCTGTTGGTGCTCTGTAGTAATCTGTAATTACAGACACATTTTGACTAAACTTTTATAGTCTTTTTATTTTTACAAAATCTAGGTGCTTATTGGTTTGTTTCAGAATCTTGTTTTATTTTTAAAAGGAGACTGAAAATTGCCTCAATCTTACTACAAGTGCTTGGCTCAAAAATATTGTAAATGTTGAGTGGCCATTCCACCAAATATTTGCAAGGTGAAGAGTATGTTTCATAAAAGAGAAATCATCTTGAGAAACCTATTTGAAAAGAGTCATTCTGGGGACAGGGAGTAACACTGGAAGAGAAAACTCATTGGTGGTGGCCATATTTAACCAATTAAACTTTCTTGCTCTTACCACAAGTCTATTAGCTTTTAGCACAACCTACTACTGTTCAGAAAACCTACCCACCAACTGCTCTGACATACACTGCCTGTTTTTCATTGGAAGTGTTTAGGTCCTGCACCATAGCTGACAGAAACAAGTCTGAGGATTGGTATGAATTCAGTCAGGTTTCAGATTAGTGTCTTTGTCAGTGGTCGCCAACTGCTGAGGTAGATCTCTCTTGAATTCACTAAAGGAATGCAAAGCCCATGGAATATGTTGCCCTTGATCTGTGTTCATTCCAGTGACCTCTGGGACAACTCAGATGCATTTGCCTTGGCTTTCTAATGCAATGCACATTTACTTGTGCCAGTCACAATTTTTTGCTGACCTTTAATGTCAGTGTAATACTGTTTAAGATCACTATGCTTTGGAAGTGCACCAGTGCAGCACGAAAGAAAAAGAAGGCAGTAGTCAGAAAATAGGTGTGAGAAGAGGCAGTGAGTGCAACTGCTTTGGGGCAAGCAGAAGAGATGTGAATACTTGATAAAAAAAGGGAGAAGTTTAGAATGGCAGGCCAATGTTAGGTAGGCATTTGGAAAGTTCATGAAGTTCTTGAGTCTATATTGGGCCGCAAAAGGACAAACACAACTAGATTTGTTTTCCAGATTTTAGAATATATTCATCCAACATTATTTGGTGACATGAACAGGTAATTCTTGCCTAAATATCTGTAAACAGTATATACTATCCAGGGCACAGCCAATACATATTGCATGAGAGGGTGAGCCATGACTCTGCTGGTCTTCATACTTGCAAAGCTCAGCTCTGCTCATCTTGCATGTTGTTTGTACTTTTGTCTCAAAACTTACAACCACAAGCAAAAGGAACAGACTTGTAAAATTATATTGCCATCATCCACATAAGCATGAATTTAGCCTCGTAAAGAATAAACAGACAAACAATCAAGGAAAACCCCTCCAAGCATATGTAACTATAGAAGAGGGATTAAGCTATTAAATGGTGTGGAAACAGCAATTCGTTAGGAGGAATAAGCCCATCTGATTTGTCTGTACTATAAAGTATAATGACAAATTATCAGAAGACACTATTACTTCTAATTAACAGAGACACAGCTGTAATGATTACATAGTATTTCATACAGCAATATTCAGCTAAGGCAGAGAAGGAGAAAGGAGGCAGGCAGAATTCCTCCTATCAGCTATGCAGTATGTGCATTTGTGGAACATTTGGAGGTTTGGGATTTTCTGTTCCTCATATCAAGTATTCTGAAGTTTGTGCTGATTAGCTGGGAAGCTGGGATAACCATAATGAGTGGAAAAACTATAATTACTAAAACATTTATATTATGTGAAGTATATTTTGTATATACATAATATATATATATGACACAGCTGTTGTGCAAGTTGTTGATCTGGTTGTAAGTTCCCTTGATTCCAATTGCTGTGAGTTTAGATCTGTAGTAAGGCAACAGCTTCAAGAAACTTCTGAAAACCTCAGATATTTGGGTTTCTAAATAGGAAAGATTTCTCATAAACAGAGCAAAGGGGCTTGGGAGCCAAAGGAGAAGAGATGCATACTTTTATCCTCTAGTCAAATACAGGAAATAGGAAGAAAATGAAGCCCAAGAGTCTCTTCCTTCTTTGATTCATGACATTCACTTCTACTTGCAAGTGTTTTCTCCAGGGTAAGAAATGGGCCCCTAATATGAAAAAAACATCTGAAACTCTATTCAAAATCTCCCATCTCTCACCAATTGTAGGTCAGAGACAAGAGGCCAAATAAGAAGAAAGCAGAGGAAAAGGAGAAAAAGCAGAGATGAGCAGTGGGCATCAGCTCCATACCTTCTAAAACTTTCCACCCTAGAGTTGTACTCATAACACCTGATTTTGTCCTTCCCTTCCCCCCTCCCCTGCCAGCTTCCTAAAACAATGGCTGACCTGCTGCTGAGCTTAGAGGGGGTTGCAGAGAATTGGTATTTCTGGGTACAGGTATATATTTCATTACAGCACTATAGAAAGTGCTGAGCATCATCTTGAAGAGCTGTAAAAGAGGACCTTCAAAGAGGATACCAAATGCATTATCAGGGGAGCTCAGCCTCTTCCTGTCCCATGGACTTGTGCAAAATCCCATGATGGTTTTCTCTGTCACTCTTCTAGTAACATATAAGAAGCTATCAGAGGAGGATCTAGTAGACTTTTAAGAGCACTTTTAAGAGCCAGATGATACCAAGTTCTCGAAACTCAGCACATCTGAACTATCAATGCTTTTGTTGAAAGATAGTATTGCAGCAACTTAGCAGGCTACTCTTACACTTCAGCGTTTCCCTTCCTAATTTTTCTTTTTTTAATCTTCTAAGAGGGGGGAAAAAAACTTCATGTTTAGTAAATTAGCAGGTACTTTTACAAAATAATTTCTTATTCATATGTGTAACTACCTGTGTGCATCTAGAATGATGATTACCTTTTTTACAAGAATGACTCTTTTTAGGACTCATCTGTATTCTTTACAGATGGATTGCCTCTACTGAGTCACAATTATTGGCATGAATTCTTACACTACCCAGGGGACTGTTAACTACCTTTAATTGCTGACAGTGGCTCACCTTCTTGAAGGCAAGAAGGCTTTAACTACCAGATAGGTGCCAACAATCTAGAATTGGAATAGGAATACCTATTCCCAGGCTAGTGCAGCCATTAGACAACTCTCTCTCTATGCCGCAGTAAACCAAAGCACACAGGTCCAGAAACACTGGCTTGGAGCACTGCCTAAACGCCATGGTGCTTCTAAGTTAAAAACCTGAGACCTTGTGTATGTGAGGTTTACTTCAGCAACTAATTTTTTTGCAGCAACTCCTGGAAACAGCAAATGAGAGGAAGAAAATAACGGGAGAACTTACAGGGATCTTCAGAAAACAAGGAAGTGCCTCTGACATCTGCCCGAAACAGTGGGTCGGTATCAGTTCAAAAAGTTTGGTCTGTGGTACCGTCTCCACTCCTCAGAAAGTTATGGGTGCATGTCTCCCAGTGGAGGGTGGAAGGGAGGATACTGAAGTATTGCTAAACAGCTGCCTGTTCTTCCCTGAAAACCCCAATTCTGGCGTTCACACACCAAGCTGTTGACAGCAGCAAAACCATTTAGCAGGGGCTGAGCCGCTGAGGTGCCCACCAGGCCGCCGCTCCCGCAGCGTCAGGGCCTCGCCGAGCAGCGCCTGCACCAGCGAGTCTGGCCGCTCAGAAGCGATGACTCAGTCTCCCCTAAATTAGGGGATTGCCAGTGACGTCTGTAAAAAAAAACAAGAGGCAGAAAGCGCACGTTGTTTTGCTTCAGCAGAGCTGGGGTAGGTGTTTCCAGCCCCGCCTTCCCCGCTCCTCGATCCTGGCAGAGCCGGTGCCTGCAGGCTCCGGGACACGGCAGCGCTCCGGGACACAAAGGCGATGCTGACCGAGAGCGGAGTTGCTCCGCACGACCGCCGGTCACTGTGGCGGAGAGAAGACGGGCAGCACAGGGCTGTACCCGGGCGCCCCTTCTGCTCCTCCTCGCCGGCAGTGAGCCCTTTCCGCCGGCAACCCTGCGGGGCGGGGGCGTTCCGCCGCCAGCCTCTTCTACTACGCAGCCGCCGGCGGCGTCTCCCGGTGACCCTTCCCTCACCACTGCGCGGGCTGAGGGAGCCGCAGCAAGCTCGCTCGGCGGCCACCTTCATCCTCCCTTCCTCCCCTCCCGCCTTCCAGCCAGCCCTGCCTCGCGCATGCGCAGCCGCCCGGGGACCGCTGGGAAACGTAGGCACGCTGCGTCCCTAACGGCTCCATTTTCTCCCCGTCGCCAGAGGAATCGCGCGTGCGCAGACCCGCCCCCTCCCCTCGGGCGTTACCGCCCCCTCTGCCGCGGCGCGCGGTATCCCGGGCAGCGGTGTCACAGCGGGGATTGGCCGAGGGAACCGCGGGGCGGGACGCGAAGGGCGCGCTGATTGGCTGGGGCGGCTGTCAGGCGCCGCGGGGTGATGGATGCGGGTGCCCGCTGAGGAGGGAGGGACGGAACGCTCCCCGTTTCCCCTCGGCGTCCGGCGCCGCGCCGGGCACAGCCCTGCCTGCAGCGCGGGGATCGCGTGCTTCTCAGTGTTCCCCTCTCCTAAGAAAGCCTTCGGAGCCGCTCCATCCCGGGGCGAGCTGGCAGGAGGCGAGACTCCTCCAAAGTCCCGGTACCCTACCGCAAAAGCATTCACTTGCCCCCGCGATCCCCCCAGCCTCCCCGCGGGCCGCTCGCCTCGCAGCCGCTGCACAACTTCACCGGAGCCTCCGCCTTCCCCGGGGTTTCCTTCACCCCACGCCCACGCCGGCGCTGCGCCGCCCGCCCCCTGGCTCGGCCCGCATCCCCGCCGCCTTCCCTCCCTCCCCGAACGTGAGTAAGGGAGGCGGGACGATGGATATGCGGAGGTTCCGGGCGGGGGAAGGGATTGAGTGTGTGCGGTGAGTGTGTGTGAGAGAGAGAGAGAGAGAGTGTGTGTGTGTGTGTGTACACAGCGCTGGGAGAGAGCGCATGCGCCCTGGCTGGCGGGGCCGAATGTTTCCCAAGTGTTTGAAACTGGTATTTGGGTTTTCCACGTTGGATCTAGCGCGGCGTATGGGAGCGAGGAGGCTGCGTTGATATCGCCGGGGAGCGGCGGCGGCGGTGAGGAGGAGAGCGGGGAAGGGGGGAGCGAAGGAGAAGCGGAGCAGAGCGGCGCTGGCGCAGGCAGAGGGGCTGCCGCTGCCTCTGACAGACACTTTGCAGAGCACATTTTGTTTCCAGATTGTTTCGGAGGAGCTGGTTTGAGCCCCGCTCCTTTCTCCTCCTCCTCCTCCCCCCTCCCCTCCACACACACACACACAAATCCCTCTGATTGTTCTTACCACCTCCTTCGTGAATTACCCACAACGACAGCCATTCAATCAGCTGCTGCTGGCTGTAGGGGACTAGCGGAGGGTGTGTGTGTGTCTCTCTCTCCCTCTTTTTCACACAAGAGGAGTCAGATGTAGCTTCCCTCGGTTTTTTGGGGGGAGCTACCGAGAGAGGTGGACAGGGAGTGAGACCTTCATCGGGGTTACCGTCTTTGAAGGGAGCAGCACTTGCTCTCGCGCTGAGAGGTGTGGGGAAGGATTTTTGTTTCTTTGCCGGATGAAAATGTTGAGTCCTGCAAACGGAGACCAGCTTCACCTAGTGAACTATGTGGAGGATTATCTGGACTCCATCGAGTCTATGCCCTTCGATCTGCAGAGAAATGTCTCCTTGATGAGGGAAATTGACGCCAAATATCAAGGTAAGTGTTTTCTATATATGTGTGTGTCCGTGTGTGTGGCTTGGGGCTCGGGGGGAAGGGTGTCTTTCCCTTTCTTTTCTTTAGAGCTGAGCCTCGGCTCCGTTTGCCCCTCTGCACCCCACAGGGATGGTAGCTTTATTTTTGGGAGGTAAAAGGAGGAAGAAAGCCGGGAGGAAAGATCCGAGGAGAGAGGGGGACTGATCTGCAGCGTTAGCTCTTGTCATGGGGCGGAACAAAAGGTCTCCGGCTTTTCTTACTAAGCAAGGACTCTGCTTTTCTGTGTAAATTGCTGGCCAAGAAGGCGGGGGCAGGGAAGTGGGGTGTGCGGTGCACAAAGGGGGGCCGTCCCTGGCCGTGGGGCTGAGGTGGAAGGGTTTGGGGGTACGGAAGAAAGTGCTGGGTGGATAGAAGGGGAAGAGATTACAGCACAACATTTAGGAATGTACAGTATTCATTATGGCTGTAGTAGGGGAGAGAGGCAGCTAGTGAAGGAGGGAGGGAAGGAAGGAGGGAGGAGAGGGGGGTTAGGCGAGAGTGGGGGGCAGGGTGTGCTTTCTTCGCTCCCTCCTCGGTGGGTTTCGTTTCACCCGGTAAAACAGCCCCGCTCCGTTGGGCGGGGGGGGTCGAGGGGGCAGGACCGGCGTGTGCGGTGTGAGTGGGGGGCGACGACACACACGGTCGCGTTTGCGGCTGGGCTGAACGCCCCCCTCCCTCCCCGCGCCCGGGGCACACCGTCCCCGTCCCCACGGGCGGAGGGAAGGAAGGGGAGGCCGGTTTGCGGGACTCGGGGCAGCTTTGTCACTTGGTCGCTAGCGTCCGCTCGGGAAGGGGGGGGTGGGGGGGGCGCTTTATTCTGTGCCGCAGGTAGCGGTGACAGCCGGGGTGCCGGGAGGGGGGACCCCCTCTCCCTGCCCGCGCACCCGTGCATGTGGCCTTAGGGGCGGCGGGCTGCGAGCCCTGCCTGCCATTGCTTCAGCCGCTCCTCGGGCAGCTCACCATGGGAGCCCGTCAGCTCCCGGGGGAAGGGTCCGGGGGAAACTTCTTCGGGAGACCGCGGGAGCTTCTCGGGGGTGGGAATGGAAGAAAAGGACAGAGCGGGCACCGCGCTCTACTAAACCACGTCCAGCGGGCACCTCCGCGCTGTGCTAGGAAGGGGCGTCCGTGCGGTTTTTATAGGCAGACCTCGTTAGCATATCGCGGTTGGCCACGCCCATCGGGGGCAGTGATAGGGCGGGGGCGTCCCCACGGGCCGGCCGTGCCCCGCCTCCCCGCGAGGATTGGCTGCGGGGCCGGGCCGGCCCGTCTCGCGCCCCCGCCCCGTCGTGACGTTTCGAGAAGCAACTTTTCCGTGGGGTTGATTTGAATATCTCGGCCGGCCCCGGCCGGCGCGCTCTGATTGGCCGGATTCGCAGCAGGGGGCGGGGCCACCTTGGCCGTCCGGAGAGTGACTGACGTGTCTCGGGGTGGGGGGGGCGCCGCTGCTCCAGCCGCGCCTCGCTCGTGACTGGCCGGACGGGGCGGGTGCGAGCGCGCTGCCGCCCGCCGTGATTGGCCGCGGCTCCGTGTCAATCACGCGTTCGTTACCGCGGGAGGGCCCGCTCGGGACGACGGGGGCGGGGCCGCCCCGCCCCCCCGCGGCCCCGGGACCTCCGCGGGGACGTCCCGGTTTCCTGCCCGAGAACAATGGCGGCTCCGTCACCTCCGGGGCGGCCTCGCGCGCCGCAGAGGGGCGGGGAGGAGGCCGGGCCCTCGCCCGTGTCCAACTCGCCGTGGTTCCGCGGCGCCTCAGCCCCCGTGAGGCTGCGGGGCTGCGCTGGGAGCCAAGCTCCGGCGGCACGGCTTCCCTCCGGCTGAGAGGCGTTTGTGGTGCCGGGAGCGTGCGGTCGCTGACGGCTCGGAGCGCAGCTTTGCCCTCCCGCTGCTGCAGCGCGGTCTCCTGGCATTGCCGTGAACCGAGGCTGCCGAGGCGGGCAGCCCAGCAGCCCCGAGCCGCGGCACGGCCCCCATGGCTGTGTCGGCGCCGAGCGGGCAGCGCGCTCCCGGCTCGGAGCGGAGCGCTCGGCTCTGCGGCAGCTTCCGCTCCGCGTCTGGCATTCCGAACACGCCCGTGCCGGGCCGCGCTCTGCAGGGTCCCAGCCTGCCTGCAGCCAGCGCTCCTCCCGCACCGCTGCGCCGGGAACGGCAGCTGCCGTGCTAGACCGAAGTTCTCCCAGCGCCGAGCTTCAGTCGGTAATTGTTTTGTGGTGTTGAGACAGATTCAGATGGGTTAAACTAATGACATCAGTCAAGTGCCAAAGCCTAACGCATAAAACTTCTGCAGTTCGGCCACTGAAAATCAGTAACTACTTTTTCAGCCTTCCTGAATGTAAAATCTGCTGTACGTTTGAAGGATCTTTTGGTGGCATCTTGGGTTTGGATTTCTTTTTGGTAGTTTTTTATTGTTTTGGGCTTTTTTTTTTTTTTTTTTTTTTTTGTAGGTTAAAAAAACCCCCACCAGTTCCTTAAAATGGTCAATAACATATCGGAATACTGATTTGGTCAGATAGGTTATATTGCAGAACCAGCTGACAGGTCATGCTTAACCAATGTGTGAAGCACAAACTGCAGCTCTAAAATCTGACGTAAAACTTGCATAATATTTCCATGTCTTCACTGAAAATCATGTATGTTTAAAAACTCTGCCAAGGAAAGCCAAAACCTAAACCACAGGGTGACTCTTGGTTTGCATATGTGTCATATTCTCCTATGAATAAATAAATAACAGATACATTTAAAAAAAAAAAAAGTTTTGCTAATGCCATTGGCATGTCTGAGAGATCCTGGTTTCTGTTAGATTAATTGAGGTCAGATTTTATATATATATTTTTTTAATATATTTTGCTTCTTTAAGACAGACTGTTCTAACCTGTGAGAAAGAGAAAATTCAGAGAAGAAAGGAGATGCAGGAAAAACATTCAATGTGTTTTTGAGGACTTAATATGGAGTGCTGAGTGTTCCATATGCTGTAGTTTATTTGTGTATCATAATGAAACTCAAAAACATCTCCTTAAAAATAGGTTTCTAGAGCCACTCTTGAAACTTTCCATACTTTGTGCATTGTTGTTTTTTATAAACAGACCAGTCCTTGAGGTGCAACTCAGGATGTAATATATTTTAAAGCAGAAGCTCTAGCTGATCCCCATTGTTGGCTATAATCTTAATGTTATCTTTCAACTTTACCTCCTTTCAACTTTCTGCTCTGCAGGAAATATTTAATGAAGATAATGTTTATCTGTTTTAAAGAATAGCTACATATATTTTACAGAAAGTATAG